TGAATCTACACCTTTTTCTCATTACAGGGTATTCAAAAATATATATTACGTATTTGTTAGTGGACCAATCTTCAATAATATACCATTATAATTCATTAGTAACCTGCCTAAAGTGGCAGAAATTACCTGGAAACACCAGAAATCAACCTGTAAACCACTCAGATTTTGGTGAACTACTACATTAATCACCTTAGAGATGTCTTTAAAGGGCAATGTTATTTCACATCTCAGTCATTTAGCAGACACTCTTTTCCAGAGTGACTTACAGTTAGTGAGTGCATACATTTTTTTTTCTACTTTTGCAATTATGCATTTAGGCTACCCGGGATTTTGCCCCAAATCCAATATTACTGTGAATCCAATATGGCAGCCATAATGATATGGCCGCCATTATGAAGCAGCAAGTTTCACCATGGTAAAACATGGCATGGAAATGCAAAAGTAGATCACACAAGATCTCACTTCTGGCCAAATACCTGTGATGGCCTTTGATTATTTTTTTTGTTGCTCTTGCAAAGTTTGTTCAAAAGGCTTATGAAGAGCAATGTTCGTGGTTATGTTTGGTGGACTGCACATAAAGATCACCCTATGGCACATAATAGGTAAACCTTTTGGCACCCCTTCTAAGATTTTCTCATATCACCTGAGGAATGTTTGTTCCAAATTTCTTGCTTGTATCCGCCCGTACTAAAAACCAATATAAGAATCCTGGCCTTGCTGACATTTTTGCTGGAGATGGATTCAATCACATGAATGAGAGTTTTGTGGCTCTATCTACTGTAACTTACACTGCCAATTCAGACCAGCAAATACCATTTGTCATCACCATATTGCCTTCTTGTAATAGTTTCTCCCACTTGTATCCTCTTGAACAGCTACATTAGATACTGCTGTTTCGATCTCTCCTCAGTCCCCAAGAATAGTCTCAGTTTTCTAGAACAATGATTCCAAGCACATTGACTTTTAAAGGTCATTTACGTGTACACTCTTAGAAAAAAGGCTTCCAAAAGGGTTCTTCGGCTGTCCCCATAGCAGAAACCTTTTTGGTTCCAGGTAGAACCCATTTGGGTTCCATGTAGAACCCTCTGTGGAAAGGGTTCTAAATGGAACCCAAGAAGGTTCTACCTGGAACAAAAAAGGGTTCTTCAAAGGGTTATTCTATGGGGACAGGTTCTAGATACAGTGGGGAAAAAAGTATTTAGTCAGCCACCAATTGTGCAAGTTCTCCCACTTAAAAAGATGAGAGAGGCCTGTAATTTTCATCATAGGTACACGTCAACTATGACAGACAAATTGAGAAAAAAAATCCAGAAAATCACATTGTAGGATTTTGTATGAATTTATTTGCAAATGATGGTGGAAAATAAGTATTTGGTCACCTACAAACAAGCAAGATTTCTGGCTCTCACAGACCTGTAACTTCTTCTTTAAGAGGCTCCTCTGTCCTCCACTCGTTACCTGTATTAATGGCACCTGTTTGAACTTGTTATCAGTATAAAAGACACCTGTCCACAACCTCAAACAGTCACACTCCAAACTCCACTATGGCCAAGACCAAAGAGCTGTCAAAGGACACCAGAAACAAAATTGTAGACCTGCACCAGGCTGGGAAGACTGAATCTGCAATAGGTAAGCAGCTTGGTTTGACGAAATCAACTGTGGGAGCAATTATTAGGAAATGGAAGACATACAAGACCACTAATAATCTCCCTCGATCTGGGGCTCCACGCAAGATCTCACCCCGTGGGGTCAAAATGATCACAAGAACGGTGAGCAAAAATCCCAGAACCACACGGGGGGACCTAGTGAATGACCTGCAGAGAGCTGGGACCAAAGTAACAAAGCCTACCATCAGTAACACACTACGCCGCCAGGGACTCAAATCCTGCAGTGCCAGACGTGTCCCCCTGCTTAAGCCAGTCCATGTCCAGGCCCGTCTGAAGTTTGCTAGAGTGCATTTGGATGATCCAGAAGAGGATTGGGAGAATGTCATATGGTCAGATGAAACCAAAATATAACTTTTTGGTAAAAACTCAACTCGTCGTGTTTGGAGGACAATGAATGCTGAGTTGCATCCAAAGAACACCATACCTACTGTGAAGCATGGGGGTGGAAACATCATGCTTTGGGGCTGTTTTTCTGTAAAGGGACCAGGACGACTGATCCGTGTATAGGAAAGAATGAATGGGGCCATGTATCGTGAGATTTTGAGTGAAAACCTCCTTCCATCAGCAAGGGCATTGAAGATGAAATGTGGCTGGGTCTTTCAGCATGACAATGATCCCAAACACACCGCCCGGGCAACAAAGGAATGGCTTCATAAGAAGCATTTCAAGGTCCTGGAGTGGCCTAGCCAGTCTCCAGATCTCAACCCCATAGAAAATCTTTGGAGGGAGTTGAAAGTCCGTGTTGCCAAGCGACAGCCCCAAAACATCACTGCTCTAGAGGAGATCTGCATGGAGGAATGGGCCAAAATACCAGCAACAGTGTGTGAAAACCTTGTGAAGACTTACAGAAAACGTTTGACCTGTGTCATTGCCAACAAAGGGTATATAACAAAGTATTGAGAAACTTTTGTTATTGACCAAATACTTATTTTCCACCATAATTTGCAAATAAATTCATAAAAAATCCTACAATGTGATTTTCTGGATTTTTTTTCCTCATTTTGTCTGTCATAGTTGACGTGTACCTATGATGAAAATTACAGGCCTCTCTCATCTTTTTAAGTGGGAGAACTTGCACAATTGGTGGCTGACTAAATACTTTTTTTCCCCCACTGTAGATAGGATTATTTTTTTACTAAGAGTGTACTGTGAATGCAATCAGTGCCTTCAGAAAGTATTCATATTTTATCCTCACCCCTCTACACACAATACCCCATAATGACAAAGTGAAAACATGTTTTTGGACATTTTTGCAAATGTATTGAAAATGAAATACAAAAATATCTCATTTACACCCCTGAGTCAACACTTTGTAGAAGCACCTTTGGCAGCGATTACAGCTGTGAGTCTTTCTGGGTAAGTCTTTAAGCGCTTTCCACACCTGGATTGTGCAACATTTGCACATTATTCTTTTCATAATTCTTCAAGCTTTGTCAAATTGGTTGTTGATCATTGTTAGACAACCATTTTCAGGTCTTGCCATAGATTTTCAGGTAGATTTAAGTAAAAACTGTAACTCGGCCACTCAGGAACATTCACTGTCTTCTTCGTAAGCAACTCCAGTGTAGAGTTGGCCTTGTGTTTTAGGTTATTTTCCTGCTGAAAGGTGAATTCATCTCCCAGTGTCTGATGGAAAGCAGACTGAAACAGGGTTTCCTCCAGGATTTTGCCTGTGCTTAGCTCCATTCCGTTTCTTTTTTATCCTGAAAAACTCCCCAGTCCTTAACGATTACAAGCATACCCATAACATGATGCAGCCACCAATATGCTTGAAAATATGGAGAGTGGTACTCAGTAATGTGTTGTATTGGATATGACACAAACATTACATTTTGTATTCAGGACAAAAAGTTAATTGCTTTGCCAAATTATTTGCAGTATTACTTTAGTGCCTTGTTGCATACAGGATGCAGGTTTTGGAATAGTTTTTATTCTGTACAGGCTTCCTTCTTTTCACTCTGTCAATTAGGTTAGTATTGTGGAGAAACTACAATGTTGTTGTTCCATCCTCAGTTTTCTCCTATCACAGCCATTAAACTCGGTAACTCTTTTAAAGTCACCATTGATTGGCCTCATGGTTAGGAAGGACGCCTGTATCTTTGTAGTGACTGGGTGTATTGATAGACCATCCAAAGCTTAATTAATAACTTCACCATACTCAAAGGGATATTTAATGTGTGCTTCTATTATTTTTTTAACTCATCTACTATAGGTGCCCTTCTTTGCGAGGCATTGGAAAACATCCCTGGTCTTTGTGGTTGAATCTGTGTTTGAAATTCACTGCTCGACTGAGGGACCTTACAGATAATTATATATGTGGGGTACAGAGATGAGGTTGTCATTCAAAACTCATGTTAAACACTATTATTGCACACAGTCCATGCAACTTATTATGTGACTTGTTAAACAATATTTTTTACTCCCGAACTCATTTAGTCTTGCCATAACAAAGTGGTTGAATACTTATTGACTCAAGACATTTCAGCTTTTCATTTTTAATTAGTTAAAAAAACACACAAAAAAACATAATTACACTTTGACATTATGGGCCAGTGACCAAAAAATCTATTTTTAATCCATTTTAAATTCAGGCTGTAACACAACAAAATGTGGAGAAAGTCAAGGGGTGTGAATACTTTCTGAAGGCACTGTATCCCTTTAAGCTGCGACCCATATGGCCCATATTCCATGGCCTCAGGCCTTGGTTCAGAACATAGAGATCGTACAGTAACCCAATGATGATGAGGTGTTATACAACATCACGGGTTCAGTAGCAGCCATCCTTCCAGCTGCCATCTCTCAGGGCGCTTAGCGCAGCCAGGCTCTTTGGGGGGGTCAGTAGACTGCAAGAAAGTGAGAGGGGTTGAGAGAGAGAGAGTAATAGATAGAGAGATAGGGAGGAATATATATTTATATATATATAGAGAGAGAGAGAGATTCAGAGATACAGTCACTCAGGATGAAATGGGAGAGTTGAGACATAAAAATGACGTTTAGACCCATGAAAAGACAATCGTAACTATTGACATTAGCGTTTATGAGGTTATATTGCACTGCATATGAAGTTCTTATGTATGTACCCTTCCAATAAAGTGTAACAACAACATATTATAGAAATATTGCTTCTTATCATACTTTTATCTTTAACATTAGCCTCGATAAAGTACCCACATTCCTGAGGCTACAATAATCAACTACAGGTAATATTATATAATATCATAAATAACATACAGTAGATAATCTATAATCATATAATTTTTTATGGTACGATAATGTTAATTTGGCAAGTATAATAGACAGGCATGTATCCACCCTTAATCTGAATGACCCTATTTACCTGTGTGTCGACTGGGCGATCTTGCTGGGGCGGGGGGTGCCACCAGTCCCTATGAAGGAGGCGGGTCGTGGTAGAGCACTACGGGGGATGGAGGAGGGCTGGGGGACACCACTGGGGATGGTGCCTTTGAGGGGCTGGGGTGCACTGCTGGGGATGTTGTGAAGAATGACAGAGGTAGAGAGGGTGTTGGAGGAGGAGGAGGGACCCTGTTGGATCGTGGGGCTGACATAGGCTGTGGCCTTGACGGGGTGTCGGGGGGTCGTTTGGAAGTTTCCCACACTCTGGAACCGTTGGCTGAGATGGCCGGCGGAGGGAACTGAAGACGGGGGCAAAGGAAAGACGGGTTAGTCAGTCATCAAACTATTCTAACCCAAGAATGTGGGGTGCAATGAGCTTAAATTAAATAGACTTAAATAAACAGGTGATTCTGGCAAGCACAGTGTGCAGAATGTTCCTTCACTGTTAAGTCATTGTGTAAAGAATCAACATATATTATACATAACACGTATCAAAAATATAAAAACTCTATAAGAGAAGGTGGAAAACAATATATAAACATAAAGGGCAAAACAGTGTGCAGGATTCCTGTACTGATACAACTGACGGTAGACCAAGATGGGAGGGGTCTTACTGGAGGACTGAAGTCGGGCGAGCCCATTGGACGAGTCGAAGCTCTGGCTGTTCCGCATGGTTATTGGCAGGGAGGAGGGGCCAGACGATTGATTGACAGAAGACACCAGGCTTGGAACAACACTGGGATCGCAATGCATGCTGGGAGCTCGGATCAGGTTGGGCATGCTTCTCCGCAGCTTGTCTACGTAACGAGGGAAGTTAAAAATCCATTGCAATCAAACCGGGAAGACATGCATGAAACGTATTCCTCTTCCTTTAGGCCAATGGTGTTCAGTCCTGGTCCTGGAGATCAACAGTGTGTGCAGGCTTTTGTTGCAGCTCAGTACCAACACAATTCAACTACTCAAGGCCTGATGATCAGCTGATCAGTTGAATCAGATGTGTTAGCATTGGGCAGGAACAAAAGCCTGCACACCCTGTGGGTCTACCAGGATGGAACACCCCAGCTCTAGACTGACCTGTGCTGGACCTGTATCCATATGTGTCCACGATGAGGCTGGAGGGTCCGGAGAATTGCTGCTGGTACTGGGACAGCCCACTGGGGGAGTACTGAGGGGTGGAGGTGCTGCGTCTGCTGCACTCCCTGATACTGGAGATACTGGAGAAGGTGTGGGAGTGAGACAGGCTGCCCCACTGCATGGACCCGGTCCGGAGCAGCCGAGGCTGGGGCGGAGGGAGATGGTTGTAGCCCTCCTCATCCTCCTCTTCCTCCTCCAGGTCCATCTTGCTGCACCGGAGGGAGAAGCTGGAGCTGCGACGGCTGGCCGTGGCTGAAGTAGAGCTAGTGGCATACTCCTGACGCAGGCCTGGTGAAGGGAGACATACATGTATTCGTGGGTTGCATGTTTCATCACAATATTCTTTTGAACGTTAGTTTTGGACTGATGCCCGACTGAGCATTCTACTCGTCAATGAGCGTTGATGAAGATATCATAAAAAATGCATTATATAGGAGGCAAATAATAGGAGGCAAATAATTAGTAGGAAAACCTTTTGACAACATTTTGATATCGCCAGATTGACTTTAGATGCAGTATAACGTTAGTTAGTTAGCTAAGATTGAGGGGAGGATACCAGGTTTTCGCTAGCTAACGTTAGCATCACTAGCTGTTTTTGACCAACTTTGCTAGCTAATGACAACATTGCTATCTGTCTTAAGTAAATTTGATGACATGATAATATTGGTAAAGTTGTTTCCTACTAAATATTTGACTACTTTAGCAATGTCATCGTATTTCCAGGCACTACAGTGTAATTTTTATTAAACGTCGTTAGCATCTGTCCAGAATGACAGGGCTTATCACGACTTTAGGGCACCACTATTGCGCCGCCGTTAGAGGGAGGTGCAGCCTATGATTAGGCATAAACACACCCAAAAACAACAGGATACACATGCACACACGGACGCACTGGCGCACGCAAGCACGCACGTACACACCCCATCTTGGCTGTCCATTGTGGATAGGGGGTAGTGGGAGGTTAGCGCTTTTGGTGCTGGTGCCACTTCATGTGGCTGTGGAGACCGATGCGGGAGCCATACACTCTGCTGCAGGTGGGACACGTACAGTATGCTGTGAGTCCAATGGCGTAATTACAGCTGCGCGTTGGTGTCTCTGGGTGAGTTTCTCGCTTCTCCTCTGTAAGTTGGTATCTTCGAGGTGCTGAACCCCTTTGGCACAGGAGGACTGTCAAATGGACCTGTTGAGTGCAAGAGTTTGTAGGCTTAAGGGGTTGATGTTGCAGCACTTCAGGATGTCCTTGCTGTGGTCTTTTAAGCGCTTTTTCTGACCATCAGCAGAGCGTTTGGCTGCACTTAGTTGGCCGTAGAGAACTCGGTGGAGGACACGGTGCTCAGGCATGTGGATCACGTGGCAAAACAAATGGAAGAGTTGTTTAACCATGCTTGCCTCAAAGGTCGACTTGGTCGACTTGGTGTTGGCGAGGATATCATTGTGCGGTACTCTGTCCTTCCAGTTTAGCACTAAGATGCGTTGGAGGCCTCTGATGTGGAAGGCTTTCAAGATGTGTATGTGTCCCCTGTATGCGGACCAGGTCTCTGAACTGTAAAGCAGGGTGGAGACACAAACAGCATTGTATACTGCGACCTTGGTGTGGGTCTTGAGGTTACGATTATCGAAGACCCTGGCCCGGAGGCATCCAAAGGAAGCTGAGGATCTATAGACACGTGTGTGGATTTTGTTGTCTCAGTTGATCCGAGGGAGTTGTGTGACAGGGTTTTGATGGCACACGTACACGCACACAAGATAATGGTGTCTTAAAATAGTTTAGTATAGTAATAGAAGTTTGACCTTGGCCACTAAAACACAGCTTCATACATCAGTGTCATGCTGTTGAATGTAGGGAGAGGCCAACTTTCCAAATATAGTTTGAAAATTATTTTCTTATCATGTTGGTTTAAATTTCACAGGCCTTGAGTTCAATAAACAGTGTGAGCAGATTTGTGACTCGTTTCGGGAAACAAGGCATATGTCACGCGTCACTAGGAGAGGCATTTGAACGTAAACATTTATTTTTATCAAAATGCATTTTTGGGCAGAAATGCATTTTGGAACATGTGAACTTTCATGTGCCTTAATAACAAACTTGTATGCCATCTGTAAATACGAATAAAATTGTTAAATTATGAGCCTAGTTGGTTTAGCAATGGAAAAAGAAAGGAACCTTCCCACTAGCCACGATTCGCTGAGATAATGGATGGGCCAGACATGCCGAGAGATGAGTTCGGATTGGTCTACCATGTAACACGCTTCTGTCTATAACATGAGCTGGTCAGTATGTGTAGTTAATCCTTTCTAACGCTGCTTTTTTTAAAGATATCACAAAGAACTGCAAAAGTGTTGCTAATACTCTCCACTTTCTGGAGGAGCGAGTTTTGAAATCAGTGGAATGCCCAGTGGAAGCATTGATAGCTAAGGTGCTTGATTGCAAATATGCGGAGGATTACATCTTAAACTAAGGGCAACCATGACATCCGTGACAGAGAGGGAGAAGTGTTCATCAATGTATACGGGTAAGAGAGTCTAGCTAGCTACATTTTCTGATATTATACGTTTTTAATTTAGTCAGAAAGTCATTTTCATTGCAAGTTAAAGCGTACTGTAAGCTAGCTAGCTAACATTAGCTGGCTGGCTGGCTCTCTAGCTAATGTTATGTGTATGATCTGTGTAGTAATATTATTTGTAACTCCGATCCATTTGCATTGCTAGTTATAGCCTAATGTTAGCTAGCTAGTTAACATTGAACCTAGTTGGTTAGCTTTAGCTACCTGTAGATTCATGCAGGATAGTAACAGGTAGCTTAGTGGTTAAGAGCGTTGTGCCAGTAACCGAAAGGTCGCTGGTTCTAATCCCTGAGCCGACTAGGTGAAAAATCTGTCGATGTGCCCTTGAGCAAGGCACTTAACCCTGATTGCTCCTGTAAATCGCTCTGTATAAGAGCGTCTGCTAAATGACTAAAATTTTAATGTAACATTATGAGTTGGGATTATGGTTAATTGTTTATCTAGCTACATGTCTAAACAAAATACTTCACTATGCAAGTAACCATTTCACTGTGCCGTTTACACATTCTGTATCCTGTGACGAATAAACTTTGATTTTATTTGATATAGTGTGTTTACCATACACTGTAATGTGAAGAACAACATGACCTGCACCAAAGTCAAATTAGGATAACGTTAGACCAACGAGACAGTGTCCAAATTCTAAAATTCTCTGGTAGAATGCCCTGATTTTTTCTCGTCACACTCACAACCTTAAGCTATTTTCTGTAATTGGCTCACCATTAACTTGTAAAAAATGATCTTGTTGTGAGTTATTTTCCTGTAATAATGATTACAAATTAGATAAAGGTAAGACGTTGTCAGCTACAGTGCATTCGGAAAGTAGTCAGACCCCTTGACTTTTTCCACAATTTGTTACGTTACAGCGTTATTCTAAAGTTGATTTAAAAAATAATAATCTCATCAATCTACACATAATACCCCATAATGACAAAGTGAAAACAGGTTTTTAGAAATGTTTGCAAATGTATTTAAAATAAAAAACAGAAATACCTTATTTACATAAGTATTCAGACCGTTTCCTATGAGACTCGAAATTGAGCTCAGGTGCATCCTGTTTCCATTGATCATCCTTGAGATGTTTCTACAACTTGATTGGAGTCTACCTGTGGTAAATTCAATTGATTGGACATGATTTGGAAAGGCACACACCTGTCTAGATAAGGTCCCACAGTTGACAGTGCATGTCAGAGCCAGGAAATTGCTGTAGAGCTCCGAGACTGGATTGTGTCGAGGCACAGATCTGGGGATGGATACCAAAAAATGTCTGCAGCATTGAAGGTCCCCAAGAACACAGTGGCCTCCATCATTCTTAAATGGAAGAAGTTTGGAAGCACCAAGACACTTCCTAGAGCTGGCCACCCGGCCAAACTGAGGAATCGGGGGAGAAGGGCCTTGTTCAGGGAGGTGACCAAGAACCTGATAGTCACTCTGAAAGAGCTCCAGAGTTCCTCTGTGGAGATGGGAGTACCTTCCAGAAGGACAACCATCTCTGCAGCACTCCACCAATCAGGCCTTTATGGTAGAGTGGCCAGACGGAAGCCACTCCTCAGTAAAAGGCACATGACAGCCCACTTGGAGTTTATCAAAAGGCACCTAAAGGACTCTCAGACTATGAGAAACAAGATTCTTTGGTCTGATGAAACCAAGATTGAATGCCAAGCGTCACGTCTGGAGGAAACCTGACACCATCCCTACGGTGAAGCATGATGGTGGCAGCATCATGCTGTGGGGATGTTTTTCAACGGCAGGGACTGGGAGACTAGTCAGGATCGACAGAAAGATGAATGGAGTAAAGTACAGAGAGATCCTTGATGAAAACCTGCACCAGAGCACTCAGGACCTCAGACTGAGGCGAAGGTTTACCTTCCAACAGGACAACAACCCTAAGCACACAGCCAAGACAATGCAGGAGTGGCTTTGGGACAAGTCTCTGAGTGTCCTTGAGTGGCCCAGCCAGGGCCCGGACTTGAATGCGATCGAACATCTCTGGAGAGACCTGAAAATAGCTGTGCAGTGACGCTCCCCAATCCAACCTGACAGAGCTTGACAGGATCTGCAGAGAAAAATGGGAGAAACTCCCCAGATACAGGTGTGCCAAGCTTGTAGCGTCATACCCAAGAAGACTCGAGGCTGTAATCGCTGCCAAAGGTGCTTCAACAGAGTACTGAGTAAAGGGTCTGAATACTTATGTAAATGTGATATCAGTTTTTTATTTTTAATACATTTGCAAAACTTTATAGAAACCTGTTTTTTCTTTGTCATTATGGGGTACTGTGTGTAGATTGATGAGGGGGGAAAAAACTATTAAATACATTTTAGAATAATGTAACGTAACAAAATGTGGAAAAGTCGAGGGGTCTGAATACTTTCCGAATGCACTGTTTATGATATGGTCATTATTGGAACTGGCTAGCCAGCTAACTTAACGTTAGCTAGCTAACAAGCTAGAAACTAACCAAAACATTGTTTAGAAAGTTGCTTTTAGTTGCATGGTTTGCATGGGTTTATTATTGTTAAAATACACCAGTTATGCTATTTTGGACCACCAGGCTGCTGATGTCATGCAGCCTGTCGTTTTTGTGTTTATACTTTTTCATAACGACAACGACAAATTTGATGTCGGACGACAATAGAATGTTCATGATGTCACTGCGACAACTGTATACAAACATACACTACCATACTCACTCTGTTTAGCACATGGCCTCATGTGAATCCTTAAAGAGATGGGTGGGGCTAAGGCTTAAGAGGGTGTGAACAATGCTGAATGGGTGTAAACAAAGAAGAGCTCTCCAATAGGTGTACCAAAACATTCAAGGGCCATTTCTTCAAATGTGGGGTTACAAGTTTATCAACTTTCAAAGCAGAATTACTTTCCCATTGTTCCTCAACTGTAGTGTATGATATACTTTTTTCTACTTTTATCCAATGTAAAAAACATAATTTCAAATGTTGCTACATAAGACCGAATCGAGCCGGTCGGTCACATTTATGCTTCATGGTTGAACAAAATATATTGTTAGCATTACAGCTACATATGTTCCTTCCACATCATCTAGCGTGTTCATAAGGTGTATCCAATACAAAGTGTTATTGAGTTTATTGTTCATTTCTACATGTACAATTTCCAACTGATGAAGATATTTATCATAACAAAAACAGTAGAGCGTACTCTACTCACTCTCCTCCTGCAGTCGAGCCATGACCTGTACGTCCGTCATGTCCTGTAGTTTATAGCCCATAGATATAGTGCCATCCTCCAGCTCTGAGGTGCCCACCTCACTGTCCATGGAAGACTGGGGGCTGACCGCAGCATGCTGCCGACTCACACCTGCAACTACAGAGGACACAGTAATGTATGCTAATGTACGCTAATGAATAATAATAATTTTACATTTACATTTAAGTCATTTAGCAGACGCTCTTATCCAGAGCGACTTACAGTTAGTGAGTGCATACATTTTTCATACTGGCCCCCCGTGGGAAACGAACCCACAACCCTGGCGTTGCAAGCGCCATGCTCTACCAACTGAGCTACACGGGAAACAATTTTTATTTTCTATTTTCATTCAAATGAGATTCTCAAAGACGCTTTAAAAAACAAACAATCAAAACCGATATAGGGTTCTGGAAGTTGGACGATGGTCTTCCACAGCTTCAGATAATAATGAGACGGTAATGTATGGTACAGTAATGTGTTGTTAAAGCTAATCTATGAATTCACTGCAGCTCCGTTACTGTTTCTGTAGTGTACTGAACACAATAGTTCAGTGGAAGTAAAATATGAGGTAAATACAAATGTTTTGGGAATAGTGTGATATATTTCAGTTGATGATATTGCTGTGGAGTGAGCATGCTGCAGTACTGTTGGTGAATGAACATATTTCAGTGTGAGTTATTACTTGCAAGGACAACATGATCACTCATGGAATTATGGGTCTTCACGTCTTTTAACTCAGCAATAGTACATCATGCTTCATAACAGTGATGAGTCTTACTGTGGTAAGCCGAGTTAAGGCTGCAGGAGCCCCTCCCTGGGAGAGTCTGTTGCTGGCGCAGAGGGTGGCTGGATGCAGAGAATGGAGCTGGAAAAAAGAAAGAGAGGAAATGGGTTCAAAATAGAGAGGGAGAGCCATAGAAAGCCTTCACACTATCCCAAATCAACCCCTAGCCCATACTCCTTAGGCACTTGTACAGATTTGAAAGAAATATATAATTGAAATAATGCAAAAAAAAAGTCTACCTAGCGAGCATCAAAGGTCAAGATGGAACTATTACCATTTTGCTGTCAGCAATCTAACCCTTTCAAAAATACGGTGCCTTCAGAAAGTATTCTCACCCCTTGACTTTTTCCACATTTTGTTGTGTTACAGCCTGAATTCAACATGTATTAAATTGAAATTTTGTGTAACTGATCTACACACAATATCCCATAATGTCAAAGTGTTTACAAATTAATAAAAAATGAAAAGCTGAAATGGTTTGAGTCAATAAGTATTCAACCCCTTTGTTATGGCAAGTCTAAATAATTTCAGCAGTAAAAATGTGCTTAACAAGTCACATAATAAGTTGCATGGACACACTGTGCAATAACAGTGTTTAACATGATTTTTAAATGACTACCCCCATCTCTGTACCCCACACATACAATTATCTGTAAGGTCCCTCAGTTGAGCAGTGAATTTAAAGCACAGATTCAACCACAAAGACCATGGAGGATTTCCAATGGTTCACAAAGGGCACGTACTGGTAGATGGGTAAAACAAAACAAAAACTGACATTGAATATCCCATTGAGCATGGAGCAGTTATTAATTACACTTTGAGTTGTGTATCAATACACCCAGTCACTACAAAGATACAGGCACCCTTCCTAACTCAGTTGCCAGAGAAGAAGGAAACCGCTCAGGGATTTCACCATGAGGCCAATGGTGATTTAAAACAGTTACAGAGTTTAATGACTGTGATAGGAGATAACTGAGGATGGATCAACAACATTGTAGTTACTCCACAATACTAACATAAATGACAGAGTGAAAAGAAGGAAGCCTGTACAGAATAAAAATAATACTGCAAAAAAAAATGGTATTGAATGTTCCTGAGTGGCCTAGTTACAGTTTTGACTTAAATCGGCTTGAAAATCAATGGCAAGACTTGAAAGAGGCTGTCTAGCAATGATCAACAACCAACTTGACAGATATGAATAATTGTTTTAATATTAATGGGCAAATATTGTACAATCCAGGTGTGCAAGGCTCTTACGACTTACCCAGAAAGACTCACAGCTGTAATCGCTGCCAAAGGTAATTCTAACTTGTATTGACTCACAGGGTTGAATACTTATCTAATCAAGCTATATTAGTGTTTAATTTTCCATTAATAAAAAATAAATGTTAGAATTTTTCTTCCACTTCCAAAATGACAATTACATCCACTTTTATCCCATTCTGTAACACAACAAAATGTGGAAAAAGTCAAGTGGTGTGAATACTTTCTGAAGTTACTGTACATGAAGTGCCTAAGGGTAGGGGCAAGGGGTCGAATTGGAATTGGCACCTAGAGTGACTGATATCCTAGAATAGACCATCAACACTCTATAACGATAAAACCTCCATTGTGGATTCCAAATCAGCACAACTAAAACCAATTGCATGCGATGTACATCATATTCCTGTACCCTTTTATATTGATTTATATATGGAGGCGTCTTGAGCCAATGAACGTTCATAAGACTGGCTGCCTGGCTGGTGCCACAGATAGACACCATCAAGGCTCTAGATAAAATATTCTGACGCAGCCTACTACGTTGAGATAAAGTAAGATACATTCTGGATTCCTATTGGGAGATGAAGATATTTACAGTCTTGTTTTGCTTGAGCTCGTCCATCTTTTTTTACGAACCCATAAGCTCCTCATTACACTCTTGTGTTCTCATTCTGTGAGCCTAGATGCATTTCTTCAAGCCAGGGATCATAATTTATAAGTCATAAGTTTAATGTGCTTGAAATTATGTTATGATAATTTCCAGACTTGTAAGATGAAATATGTATGATTAATCAAATCATACAAATCCAATTGTATTGGTAAGATTTAGCAGATGTTATTGCGGGTGTAGCGAAATGCTTGTGTTCCTAGCTCAAACAGTGCAGTAGTATCTAACAATTCACAAAAATGCACTCAAATCTAAAAGTAAAAGAATGGAATTAAGAAATATATAAATATTAGGCCGAGCAATGTCGGAGTGGCATTGACTAAAATACAGTAGAATAGAATATAGTACATACATATGAAATGAGTAAAGGAGTATGTAAACATTATTAAAGTGACTAGTGTTCCATTCTTAACGTGACCAGTAATTCCATGTCTATGAACATACGGCAGCAGCCTCTAAGGTGCAGGGTTGAGTAACCGGGTGGTAGTGATGGCTATTTAACAGTCGGATGGCCTTGAGATAGAAGCTGTTTTTCAGTCTCTCGGTCCCAGCTTTGATGCACCTGTACTGACCTCGCCTTCTGGATGGTAGCGGGGTGAACAGGCCGTGGCTCGGGTGGTTGATGTCCTTGATGATCTTTTTGGCCTTCCTGTGACATCAGGTGCTGTAGGTGGCCTGGAGGACAGGCAGCGTGCCCCCGGTGATGCATTGGGCAGACCGCACCACCCTCTGGAGAGCCCTGCGGTTGTGGGCGGTGCAGTTGCCGTACCAGGCGGTGATACAGCCCGACAGGATGCTCTCAATTGTGCATCTGTAAAAGTTTGTGAGGGTCTTAGGGGCCAAGCCAAATTTCTTCAGCCTCCTGAGGTTGAAGAGGCGCCGTTTCGCCTTCTTCACCACACTGTCTGTGTGGGTGGACCATTTCAGATTGTCAGTGATGTGTACGCTGAGGAACTTGAAGCTTTTCACCTTCTCCACTGCGGTCCCATCGATGTGGATAGGGGCGTGCTCCTTCTGCTGTTTCCTGAAGTCCACGATCAGCTCCTTCATTATTTTCCTGGCACCACTCCTCCAGGGCCCTCACCTCCTCCCTGTAGGATGTCTCATCATTGTTGGTAATCAGGCCTACCACTGTTGTCGTCTGCAAACTTGATGATTGAGTTGGAGGTGTGAATGGCCACGCAGTCATGGGTGAACAGGGAGAGGAGGGGGCTGAGCACACACCCTTGTGGGGCCCCTGTGTTGAGGATCAGCGAAGTGGAGGTGTTGTTTCCTACCTTCACCACCTGGGGGCGGCCCATCAGGAAGTCCAGGACCCAGTTGCACAGGGCGGGGTTCAGACCCAGGGCCCTGAGCTTACTGATGAGCTTGGAGGGTACTATGGTGTTGAATGCTGAGCTATAGTCAATGAACAGCATTGTTACATAGGTATTCCTCTTGTCCAGATGGGATAAGGTAGTGTGCAGTGCAATGGCGATTGAATCGTCTGTGGATCTATTGGGGCATTATGCAAATTTGTGGGACTAGGTTGTCAGGTAAGGTAGAGGTGATATGATCCTTAACTAGCGTCTCAAACACTTCATGATGACAGAAGTGAGTGCTACGGGGCGATAGTCATTTATTTCAGTTACGTTTGCTTTCTTGGGTACAGGAACAATGGGGGACATCTTGAAGCAAGTGGGGACAGCAGACTGGGATAGGGAGAGATTTAATATGTCCGTAAACACTCCAGCCAGCTGGTCTGCGCATGCTCTGAGGATGCGGCTAGGGATGCCAGCTAGGCCTTGCGATGGTTAACACGCTTAAATGTCTTACTCATGTCGGCCACAGAGAACGAGAGCCCACAGTCCTTGGGAGCGGGCCGCGTCAATGGCACTGTGTTATCCTCAAAGCGGACGAAGGTGTTTAGCTTGTCCAGGAGCAAAACGTTTGTGTCCGCGACGTGGCTGGTTTTCCCTTTGTAATCCGTGATTGTCTGTAGACCCTGCCACATATGTCTCATGTCTGAGCTGTTGAATTGCGACTCCACTTTGTCTCTGTACTGACGTTTTGCCTGTTTGATTGCCTTACGGAGGGAATAACTACACTGTTTATATTCAACCATATTCCCAGTCACCTTGCCATGGTTAAATGCGGTGGTTCGCGCTTTCAGTTTTGCGCGAATGCTGCCATCTATCCGCGGTTTCTGGTTTGGGTAGGTTTTAATAATCACAGTGGGAACAACATTCCCTATACACTTCCTGATGAACTCAGTCACTGTGACCGTATAAACGTCAATGTTATTCTCAGAGGCTACCCAGAATACATCCCAGTCCACGTGATCAAAACAATCTTGAAGCATGGATTCTGATTGGTTAGACCAGCGTTGAATAGACCTTAGCACAGGTCATTCCTGTTTGAGTTTCTGCCTATAGGAAGGGAGGAGCAAAATGGAGTCGTGATCTGATTTGCCGAAGGGGGGGGGGGCGGGGGAGGGCCTTGTAGGCATCCCAGAATGGGCAGTAGCAGTGGTCGAGCGTTTTAGCAGCGCAAGTTTTACAGTCAATGTGTTGATAGAACTTCGGTTGCGTTTTCCTCCAATTTGCTTTGTTAAAATCCCCAGCTACAATAAATGCGGCCTTAGGATATGTGGTTTCCAGTTTGCACAAAGTCCAGTGTAGTTCCTTGAGGACCGTCATGGTATCGGCTTGAGGGGGAATATACACGGCTGAGACTATAACCGAAGCTAGTTCTCTTGGGAGGTAATACAGTCGGCATTTGATTGTGAGGTATTCTAGGTCGGGTGAACAAAAGGAATTTAGTTTCTGTACGTTATCACAATCACACCATGAGTAGTTAATCATTAAACATACACCACCGCCTTTCTTCTTCCCGGAGAATTCTTTATTACTGAGAACCCAGCTGGCTGTATGAAAGGGAACAGTATATCAGGAGAGAGCCATGATTCCGTGAAACAGAGTATGTTACAGTCCCTGATGTCTCTCTGGAAGGAGATCCCCGCCCTGAGCTCGTCTTATTTATTGTCCAGAGACTGAACATTAGCGAGTAATATACTCGGAAGTGGTGGATGGTGAGCACGCCTCCTGAGTCGGACTAGAAGTCCACTCCGAATACCTCTTCTCTACCGGCGGCGTCTTGGTTCAGCCTCCAATTCCAATTCGGGAAAGTCATATTCCTGGTGAGTTCCCGCTGCTCTGATATCCAAAAGTTCTCACTGTTAGTCAGCACCTCTACACTAAGTAATTTTCTCTGGGTGTGTGCCAGCTTATGCTTTTTATAGCAGGGTGTTTGAGTAGGCTTAACTAGCTAGCTGCATTTGCTAGCTAAGTAAGTGAAACTGAGAGTGAAAAAAATTGTGAAATCTCTTTATCTCTCTCTCTCTTGCTTCTCCTTCATTTTGGAAGAAATTAATTTGTTCAAAACTGTTCAACTATTGTCTTTCTCTTTGAGTTAACTACTCACCACATTGTATGCACTGCAGTGCTAGCTAGCTGTAGCTTTCAGTACTAGATTCATTATCTGATCCTTTGATTGGGTGGACAACATGTCAGTTCACGCTGCAAGAGCTCTGATAGGTTGGTGGACGTCCTCAGGAACCATGAGCCTCCTAAGTTTTGTATTGAAGTCAATGTACCCAGAGGAGGACGGAAGCTAGCTGTCCTCCGGCTACACCATGGTTCTGCCCTACAGAGTACTGTTGAGGCTACTGTAGACCTTCATTGCAAATAAAGTGTGTTTAAATCAATTATTTGGTAACATGTGAATATATTTAGTATAGTTGTATCTAAAAAGGATAACTTTTAAAAAGTTGTACACATTTTTTATTTTTACTGAGGAGGATGGTCCTCCCCTTCCTCCTCTGAGGAGCCTCCACTGACATAAGATCACCAAAGATCAAAATTAGGGTTTTCTGAGGTGATTTTCTCTCTACAACTTTCACTCTAAAATGTGAAGTTAGCTGACTTGCTCTCAATGCAGTTCTATAAAGCTGGAGGATAAAATGTCTTCCTTTAGTCTCTAATGCTTAGTACTGCATTATCTTACCTAAAATACAAGCCTGGCATTTTCAAACGTGCAAGAAATGCTAAAATAAACACAATTTGCTCTTGTCTAATGATGATAAAGTGTTAGTTGTCTCATGTTACTTTGTACAGAAAATTCATCTCAGAAATCGGATACACTGCATGATGGCTGGTTTTAAGGTCATTGGAAGCCATAAACAAGTTGGTGAGTGAGTGAGTGAATAATGCACGAGCGAGTGACTTACTGTAAGGTGTGAGTAAGGGAATAAGAACTATATGAGATAAATAAAATACACGTTTATGGACAAATGATCAATCAATAAAATGTTCACCACTCTGTCTATGCTGGTTGGATAGTGGCGAGAAAAGTAAGTGTGTCAGTTCCAGTTGTAGGCTTTTATAGTGCTGGCCATGCAGTGCAGGATATGTTACCTGTGGACTCTGTGGTTAGTGCAGCAGGTTTAGTGTAAGGCAGGATGGGGAAGCTGAGGGGAGATATCCCCTCTGTGATGGAGCTGTAAGGACGGACAGAGGAGACCAGACCCGAGCTGCTGATGCTTCTCCTCCACTTGGCTGGGGAGAAGAGCATGAGGAAGGGGAGGTTAGATTGAAATACGCAGACTGACAAATAAGCACACACACACACAGATATACTCTGAGCACATTTTCAATTGACTCACAACAAACAAATTCACAAAGTCACTTGTTCACTGCACCAAATCACCCTTTTCAAGTATTCTGCAAAATGCAATATTCACAATACTTTTGACATGTTTTAATTTGATAGTGTCTAGGTTTTTATGGCCTAGTTTGATAACTACTGAACACTGTAAAATTATAGATTTTTACATCATAAATGTATCAATTGACATCAATTTATGTTGGACGGTCAAATCATACAGTGAGGGAAAAAAGTATTTGATCCCCTGCTAATTTTGTACACTGACAAAGAAATGATCAGTCTATAATTTTAATGGTAGGTTTATTTGAACAGTGAAAGACAGAATAACAACAACAAAATCCAGAAAAACGCATGTAAACATTTTTATACATTGATTTGCATTTTAATGAGGGAAATAAGTATTTGACCCCCTCTCAATCAGAAAGATTTCTGGCTCCCAGGTGTCTTTTATACAGGTAACGAGCTGAGATTAGGAGCACACTCTTAAAGGGAGTGCTCCTAATCTCAGTTTGTTACCTGTATAAAAGACACCTGTCCACAGAAGCAATTAATCAATCAGATTCCAAACTCTCCACCATGGCCAAGACCAAAGAGCTCTCCAAGGATGTCAGGGACAAGATTGTAGACCTACATAAGGCTGGAATGGGCTACAAGACCATCGCCAAGCAGCTTGGTGAGAAGGTGACAACAGTTGGTGTGATTATTCGCAAATCAAATCAAATCAAATTTTATTGGCCACATGCGCCGAATACAACAGGTGCAGACATTACAGTGAAATGCTTACTTACAGCCCTTAACCAACAGTGGATTTATTTTTAATAAAAAAGTAAAATAAAACAACAAAAAAAGTGTTGAGAAAAAAAGAGCAGAAGTAAAATAAAATAACAGTAGGGAGGCTATATATACAGGGGGGTACCGGTGCAGAGTCAATGTGCGGGGGCACCGGCTAGTTGAGGTAGTTGAAGTAATATGTACATGTGGGTAGAGTTAAAGTGACTATGCATAAATAATTAACAGAGTAGCAGCAGCGTAAAAAGATGGGGTGGGGGGGCAGTGCAAATAGTCCGGGTAGCCATGATTAGCTGTTCAGGAGTTTTATGGCTTGGGGGTAGAAGCTGTTGAGAAGTCTTTTGGACCTAGACTTGGCACTCCGGTACCGCTTGCAGTGCGGTAGCAGAGAGAACAGTCTATGACTAGGGTGGCTGGAGTCTTTGACAATTTTGAGGGCCTTCCTCTGACACCACCTGGTATAGAGGTCCTGGATGGCAGGAAGCTTGGCCCCAGTGATGTACTGGGCCGTACGCACTACCCTCTGTAGTGCCTTGTGGTCGGAGGCCAAGCAGTTGCCATACCAGGCGGTGATGCAACCAGTCAGGATGCTCTCGATGGTGCAGCTGTAGAATTTTTTGAGGATCTGAGGACCCATGCCGAATCTCCTGAGGGGGAATAGGCTTTGTCGTGCCCTCTTCACGACTGTCTTGGTGTGTTTGGACCATGATAGTTCGTTGGTGATGTGGACACCAAGGAACTTGAAGCTCTCAACCTGTTCCACTTTGACAGCTCTTTGGTCTTGGCCATAGTGGAGTTTGGAGTGTGACTGTTTGAGGTTGTGGACAGGTGTCTTTTATACTGATAACATATTCAAACAGGTGCCATTAATACAGGTAACGAGTGGAGGACAGAGGAGCCTCTTAAAGAAGAAGTTACAGGTTTGTGAGAGCCAGAAATCTTGCTTGTTTGTAGGTGACCAAATACTTATTTTCCACCATAATTTGCAAATAAATTCATTAAAAATCCTAAAATGTGATTTTCTGGATTTTTTCTCTCAATTTGTCTGTCATAGTTGACGTGTACCTATGATGAAAATTACAGGCCTCTCTCATCTTTTTAAGTGGGAGAACTTGCACAATTGGTGGCTGACTAAATACTTTTTTTCCCCACTGTATATATATATATATATATATATATATATATATGGAAGAAACATAAAATAACTGTCAATCTCCCTCGGCCTGGGGCTCCATGCAAGATCTCACCTCGTGGAGTTGCAATCATCATGAGAACGGTGAGGAATCAGCCCAGAACTACACGGGAGGATCTTTTTAATGATCTCAAGGCAGCTGGGAACGTAGTCACCAAGAAAACAATTGGTAACACACTACGCCGTGAAGGACTGAAATCCTGCAGCGCCCGCAAGGTCCCCCTGTTCAATAAAGCACATATACAGGCCCATCTGAAGTTTGCCAATGAACGTCTGAATGATTCAGAGGAGAACTGGGTGAAAGTGTTGTGGTCAGATGAGACCAAAATCGAGCTCTTTGGCATCAACTCAACTCGCCGTGTTTGGAGGAGGAATGCTGCCTATGACCCCAAGAACACCATCCCCACCGTCAAACATGGAGGTGGAAACATTATGCTTTGGGGGTGTTTTTCTGCTAAGGGGACAGGACAACTTCACCGCATCAAAGGGACGATGGACGGGGCCATGTACCGTCAAATCTTGGGTGAGAACCTCCTTCCCTCAGCCAGGACATTGAAAATGGGTTGTGGATGGGTATTCCAGCATGACAATGACCCAAAACACACGGCCAAGGCAACAAAGGAGTGGCTCAAGAAGAAGGACATTAAGGTCCTGGAGTGGCCTAGCCAGTCTCCAGAACTTAATCCCATAGAAAATCTGTGGAGGGAGCTGAAGGTTCGAGTTGCCAAATGTCAGCCTCGAAACCTTAGTGACTTGGAGAAGATCTGCAAAGAGGAGTGGGACAAAATCCCTCCTGAGATGTGTGCAAACCTGGTGGCCAACTACAAGAAACGTCTGACCTCTGTGATTGCCAACAAGGGTTTTGCCACCAAGTACTAAGTCATGTTTTGCAGAGGGGTCAAATACTTATTTCCCTAATTAAAATGCAAATCAATTTATTACTTTTTTGACATGCGTTTTTCTTGATTTTTATTGTTGGTTGTCTGTCTCTCACTGTTCAAATAAACCTACCATTAAAATGATAGACGGATCATGTCATTGGGCAAACGTACAAAATCAGCAGGGGAACTCTAAGACTGACATATTTAATAAAACAATAAAAATAATCTAGTTATAGCCAAATACTGTATGGAAAATGATATTTGCCATCTAATATTCCACTTCACTTTCAAAAATAATATATAGCATTTTTTACTATTGGATTAAATGTTATTTAAGTAAACGGTCAGCTTATCATTATCTGATGTATTGGTGGCTAAACAAAATGTTGTCATGGTACTGTATTTTACAGAAAAGTGTTGTTCAAATCAAAGATGATGAACATAAATGCAAGACAGGGGTCATTAAAAGTGTTATTGGTTTTGTGTTTTGTACAAAGAGATTTGAAAATATAACACAATACATCTGAATATTGTGCCAAAGATATTGAAAAACACTGTAATATTTCAGATTGTAAAAACTATTGTGTAAAACCTTTGCAGCTTCAGCTTGTTGGTTCATGGATATTTAGGGGGAATAATTAGGGATTAAACCATGTAAAATCCACTCCCAAAAAATGAAATGTGCTCCCTTCAACATCCCTAGTGTACTGGCTGGAACACACAGTGCATAGTGATTACCAGATATGAACATGTGTGGAGGCTGTGTGTGCATTTACAGCAAACTGAGTTTATTCCCAGCTGCGTTTGAAATGACACCATATTCCCTATATAGCACACAGAATGAAGTACACTGTATAGGGAATAGGGTGCCATTTCCTACGCAACCCCAGTTATTGGTAGGCAGCAAGGCACATGACAGAGAGAGAGATCAGTGCTTTAGTATTTGGCGTACTTCACACACAATTAGCCTTACCACTGCTGGGTAAAATTAGCAATTAGCATTTGTCTTCCTGGGGTCCAAACCAGATTAAGGCAATTACATCAAAAAAAATTTTTATATAACAGTACATCACACAACATATTTTTACACCACGACCCTACAACTACATATCTACAATTCAAAATGTATTATACCACAATACAACAATGTTCCAACATTACAATGTACGTGTGTGTACAGTGCGTGTCATGACTTCCTCCGAAGCTGCCCCCCCTCCTTGTCCGGGCAGGCTTCGGCGTTCGTCGTCACAGGCCTACTAGCCACTGCCGCTCCATATCTCATCATTCCATTTGTCTTGTCTTGTCAATTACACACACCTGGTTCATATCCCCTCATTAGTACATGTATAAGTGTTCCCTCTGCCCCCCTTGTCCTTTTGGGAGATTGTTTATTGTGAGTTGAGTGTAGCTCGGTTGAGCTACCTGTACCTTGTATTTCCGGGGATATTGTTTCCCCGTGTGCCTGTATTTTGTTGACGTTATCCAGCGGAACTGTGTCCTACGGAATAAACTCTGTATTCGGTGATTTACCCTCCTGCGCCTGACTCCTTCAAATCACATTCTCACAGTGCGTGGTGTGTTAGTGTATGTTGCGAATGTGTGTGTGTGTCTCTTCACGATCCGCATTGTTCCATAAGGTGTCGTTTTATTTGTTTTTTTAATCTGATTTAACTGCTCGCTTGAGTTAATTGATGTGGAATAGAGTTCCATGTAGTCATGGCTCGATGTAGTACTGTGCGTTTCCCAGAGTCTGTTCTGAACTTGGGGACTGTGAAGAGACCCCTGGTGGCATATCTTGTGGGGTATGCATGGGTGTCTGAGCTGTGTGCTAGTTGTCTGAACAGACAGCTCCTTGCTTTCAACATGTCAATACCTTTCACAAAGACAAGTAGTGATGCAATCAATCTCTCCTCTACTTTGAGCCAGGAGAGATTGACATGCATGTTATTGATGTTAGGTGTTCGTGTACACTTAAGGGCCAGCCGTGGTGCTCTGTTCTGGGCCACCTGTAATTTGCCTATGTCACTCTTTGTGGCACCATATGACTGGGCAGTAGTCCAGGTGAGATAAAACTAGGGCCTGTAAGACTTGTTTTGTTGATAGCGATGTCAATAAAGCAGAGTAACACTTTATTATGGACAGACCTCTCTGCCATTTTAGCTACCGTTGCATCAATATGTTTTGACCATGACAGTTTACAATCCAGGGTTACACCAAGCAGTTTAGTCTCCTCAACTTGCTCAATTTCCACATTATTAATTAAAATATGTATTTGAGGTTTACTGTTTAGTGAATGATTTGTCCCAAATACAATGTTTTTAGTTATTTAAATATTTAGGAAAAGTGTATTACTTGCCACCCATTGTAAAACTGACTGCAGCTCATTGTTAAGTGATGCAGTGATTTCACTTGCTGTGGTAGCTGACGTGTATAATGTTGAGTCATCATACATGGACAAAAAGGCTTTACTCAGTGCCAGTGGCAGGTCATTAGTGAAAATATAAAAAAGTAAGGGGCCTAGACAGCTGACCTGGGGTATGCCCTACCTGGTCTATGTTGGGGAGGCTTCAATTAAAGAACACCCTCTGTGTTCAGTTAGACAGGTTACTCTCAATCCATAATATAGCAGAGGATATAAAGCCATTCCATAGGTTTTTTTCAGCAGCAGACTATCGACAATGTCAAAAGTTGAACTTAAGTCTAACAACTCACAGCTACCTAGATAAACAACAGTTAACTGAGACCAGAGGAACAAAGCTGTATTCATGACATAGGGAGGGAGAGCCAACCTTTCCTGAATCCATCCTTTGAAAGCAGAGAGAAGGACTCTGAACATATACACACACCCCTTTGGAGACAAACTTCATCCATTATTCAACTGCAGAGGTGACTAGACAGGGCCACACCAAATAACTGATACTGAATTTATTGATCCCAACCAATCTTCAGAATAACAAGATTAAACTACACACACTGATATGTAGCAAAGCACACATGCACATATCAAATCAAATTTTATTGGCCACATGCGCCGAATACAACAGGTGTAGACATTACAGGGAAATGCTTACTTGCAGCCCTTAACCAACAATGCATTTATTTTGTAATAAAAAAAAGTCAAATAAAACAACAACAAAAAAGTATTGAGAAAAAAAGAGCAGAAGTAAAGTAAAATAACAGTAGGGAGGCTATATATACAGGAGGGTACCGGTGCAGAGTCAATGTGTTGAGGATCAATGTGGCAGATGTGTTGTTACCTACCCTTACCACCTGGGAGCGGCCCGTCAGGAAGTCCAGGATCCAGTTGCAGAGGGAGGTGTTTAGTCCCAGGATCCTTAGCTTAGTGATGAGCTTTGAGGGCACTATGGTGTAGAATGCTGAGCTGTAGTCAATGAATAGCATTCTCACGTAGGTGTTCCTCTTGTCCAGGTGGGAAAGGGCAGTGTGGAGTGCAATAGAGATTGCATCATCTGTGGATCTGTTGGGGCGGTATGCAAATTGGAGTGGGTCTAGGGTTTCTGGGGTAATGGTGTTGATGTGAGCCATGACCAGCCTTTCAAAGCACTTCATGGCTACAGACGTTAATGCTACGGGTCGGTAGTCATTTAGGCAGGTTATCTTAGTGTCCTTGGGCACGGGGACTATGGTGGTCTGCTTGAAACATGTTGGTATTACAGACTCAGTCAGGGACATGTTGAAAATGTCAGTGAAGACACTTGCCAGTTGGTCAACACATGCTCGGAGTCCACGTCCTGGTAATCAGTCTGGCCCTGCAGCCTTGTGAATGTTGACCTGCTTAAAAGTCTTACTCACATTGGCTACGGAGAGCGTGATCACATAGTCATCCGGAACTGCTGGTGCTCTCATGCATGCTTCAGTGTTGCTTGCCTCGAAGCGAGCATAGAAGTGGTTTAGCTCGTCTGGAAGTCTTGTGTCACTGGGCAGCTCGCGGCTGTGCTTCCCTTTGTAATCTGTAATAGTTTTCAAGCCCTGCCACATCCGACGAGCGTCAGAGCTGGTGTAGTACGATTCAATCTTAGTCCTGTACTGACTCTTTGCCTGTTTGATGGTTCATCGGAGGGCATAGCGGGATTTCTTATAAGCTTCCGGGTTAGAGTCCCGCTCCTTGAAAGCAGCACCTCTACCCTTTAGCTCAGTGCGGATGTTGCCTGTAATCCATGGCTTCTGGTTGGGGTATGTACTTACGGTCACTGTGGGGACAACGTCATCGATGCACTTATTGATGAAGCCAGTGACTGATGTGGTGTACTCCTCAATGCTATCTGAAGAATCTCGGAACATGTTCCAGTCTGTGCTAGCAAAACAGTCCTGTAGCTTAGCATCTGCGTCATCTGACCACTTTTTTATTAACCGAGTCACTAGTGCTTTCTGCTTTAGTTTTTGCTTATAAGCAGGAATCAGGAGGATAGAGTTATGGTTAGATTTGCCAAATGGAGGGCGAGGGAGAGCTTTATATACGTCTCTGTGTGTGGAGTAAAGGTGGTCTAGAGTTTTTTTTCCTCTGTTTGCACATTTAACTTGCTGGTAGAAATTATGTAGAACAAGGGCACACACGTGCACAAGATGCACACATGTGCATACGAAAACACACATGCACACACGCACCATAAGTGTTTATGCTGTCTGATGCAGTACTAGTGAACCAATTTCTTTCAGTAGCAGGTTAATTACAGTATTTTTTAATCGCTTTGGTGCTATTTTCACAATAATGTGGTGAATTTTCAAAACTTAGTAAAAAACTCCAAACTGGTAACACTTGTAATGCAGCAAGTCTTATATTCTAAACATTTTATTGTCCATTAATTTTGTTTGGAGACATCTTTCACCACACAACAATTGATCCAAAATATAAGTTTACTCAGTGCCAGTGGAAGGTAATTAGTGAAAATATAAAAAAGTAAGGGGCCTAGACAGCTGACCTGGGGTATGCCCTACCTAGACTATGTTGGGGAGGCTTCCATTAAAGAACACCCTCTGTGTTCAGTTAGACAGGTTACTCTCAATCCATAATATAGCAGAGGATATAAAGCCATTCCATAGGTTTATTTCAGCAGCAGACTATCGACAATGTCAAAAGTTGAATTTAAGTCTAACAACTCACAGCTAGCTAGATAAACAACAGTTAACTGAGACCAGAGGAACAAAGCTGTATTCATGACATAGGAAGGGAGAGCCTACCTTTCCTGAATCCATCCTTTGAAAGCAGAGAGAAGGACTCTGAACATATATACACACCCCTTTGGAGACACACTTCATCCATTATTCAACTGCAGAGGTGACTAGACAGGGCCACACCAAATAACTGATACTGAATTTATTGATCCCAACCAATCTTCAGAATAACAAGATTAAACTACACACACTGATATGTAGCAAAGCACACATGCACATATCAAATCAAATTTTATTGGCCACATGCGCCGAATACAACAGGTGTAGACATTACAGGGAAATGCTTACTTGCAGCCCTTAACCAACAATGCATTTATTTTGTAATAAAAAAAAGTCAAATAAAACAACAACAAAAAAGTATTGAGAAAAAAAGAGCAGAAGTAAAGTAAAATAACAGTAGGGAGGCTATATATACAGGAGGGTACCGGTGCAGAGTCAATGTGTTGAGGATCAATGTGGCAGATGTGTTGTTACCTACCCTTACCACCTGGGAGCGGCCCGTCAGGAAGTCCAGGATCCAGTTGCAGAGGGAGGTGTTTAGTCCCAGGATCCTTAGCTTAGTGATGAGCTTTGAGGGCACTATGGTGTAGAATGCTGAGCTGTAGTCAATGAATAGCATTCTCACGTAGGTGTTCCTCTTGTCCAGGTGGGAAAGGGCAGTGTGGAGTGCAATAGAGATTGCATCATCTGTGGATCTGTTGGGGCGGTATGCAAATTGGAGTGGGTCTAGGGTTTCTGGGGTAATGGTGTTGATGTGAGCCATGACCAGCCTTTCAAAGCACTTCATGGCTACAGACGTTAATGCTACGGGTCGGTAGTCATTTAGGCAGGTTATCTTAGTGTCCTTGGGCACGGGGACTATGGTGGTCTGCTTGAAACATGTTGGTATTACAGACTCAGTCAGGGACATGTTGAAAATGTCAGTGAAGACACTTGCCAGTTGGTCAACACATGCTCGGAGTCCACGTCCTGGTAATCAGTCTGGCCCTGCAGCCTTGTGAATGTTGACCTGCTTAAAAGTCTTACTCACATTGGCTACGGAGAGCGTGATCACATAGTCATCCGGAACTGCTGGTGCTCTCATGCATGCTTCAGTGTTGCTTGCCTCGAAGCGAGCATAGAAGTGGTTTAGCTCGTCTGGAAGTCTTGTGTCACTGGGCAGCTCGCGGCTGTGCTTCCCTTTGTAATCTGTAATAGTTTTCAAGCCCTGCCACATCCGACGAGCGTCAGAGCTGGTGTAGTACGATTCAATCTTAGTCCTGTACTGACTCTTTGCCTGTTTGATGGTTCATCGGAGGGCATAGCGGGATTTCTTATAAGCTTCCGGGTTAGAGTCCCGCTCCTTGAAAGCAGCACCTCTACCCTTTAGCTCAGTGCGGATGTTGCCTGTAATCCATGGCTTCTGGTTGGGGTATGTACTTACGGTCACTGTGGGGACAACGTCATCGATGCACTTATTGATGAAGCCAGTGACTGATGTGGTGTACTCCTCAATGCTATCTGAAGAATCTCGGAACATGTTCCAGTCTGTGCTAGCAAAACAGTCCTGTAGCTTAGCATCTGCGTCATCTGACCACTTTTTTATTAACCGAGTCACTAGTGCTTTCTGCTTTAGTTTTTGCTTATAAGCAGGAATCAGGAGGATAGAGTTATGGTTAGATTTGCCAAATGGAGGGCGAGGGAGAGCTTTATATGCGTCTCTGTGTGTGGAGTAAAGGTGGTCTAGAGTTTTTTTTCCTCTGTTTGCACATTTAACTTGCTGGTAGAAATTATGTAGAACAAGGGCACACACGTGCACAAGATGCACACATGTGCATACGAAAACACACATGCACACACGCACCATAAGTGTTTATGCTGTCTGATGCAGTACTAGTGAACCAATTTCTTTCAGTAGCAGGTTAATTACAGTATTTTTTAATCGCTTTGGTGCTATTTTCACAATAATGTGGTGAATTTTCAAAACTTAGTAAAAAACTCCAAACTGGTAACACTTGTAATGCAGCAAGTCTTATATTCTAAACATTTTATTGTCCATTAATTTTGTTTGGAGACATCTTTCACCACACAACAATTGATCCAAAATATAAGTTTACTCAGTGCCAGTGGAAGGTAATTAGTGAAAATATAAAAAAGTAAGGGGCCTAGACAGCTGACCTGGGGTATGCCCTACCTAGACTATGTTGGGGAGGCTTCCATTAAAGAACACCCTCTGTGTTCAGTTAGACAGGTTACTCTCAATCCATAATATAGCAGAGGATATAAAGCCATTCCATAGGTTTATTTCAGCAGCAGACTATCGACAATGTCAAAAGTTGAATTTAAGTCTAACAACTCACAGCTACCTAGATAAACAACAGTTAACTGAGACCAGAGGAACAAAGCTGTATTCATGACATAGGAAGGGAGAGCCTACCTTTCCTGAATCCATCCTTTGAAAGCAGAGAGAAGGACTCTGAACATATATACACACCCCTTTGGAGACACACTTCATCCATTATTCAACTGCAGAGGTGACTAGACAGGGCCACACCAAATAACTGATACTGAATTTATTGATCCCAACCAATCTTCAGAATAACAAGATTAAACTACACACACTGATATGTAGCAAGGCACACATGCACATATCAAATCAAATTTTATTGGCCACATGCGCCGAATACAACAGGTGTAGACATTACAGGGAAATGCTTACTTACAGCCCTTAACCAACAATGCATTTATTTTGTAATAAAAAAAAGTCAAATAAAACAACAACAAAAAAGTGTTGAGAAAAAAAGAGCAGAAGTAAAATAAAATAACAGTAGGGAGGCTATATACAGTGGGGGGAAAAAAGTATTTAGTCAGCCACCAATTGTGCAAGTTCTCCCACTTAAAAAGATGAGAGAGGCCTGTAATTTTCATCATAGGTACACATCAACTATGACAGACCAAATTAGAAAAATGTGTTGTACAGTTGTACTGTAATCAAATGAAACAAATGAAATGAATGAAAGAAACATAACGTTTAATAGGCCCTAGTTTGCATCAAGCCTGTCTTGAGCATATAATAATAAATAATAAGCATCTGGCCATAGGTTCTCATCGACACAGTAAATGTCCTCATTGTTCATGCACCTGGGGAAAAACCTTTTGGCAGGCCGAATCCAAAACTGACATAGGTCTTCATGTCATTGCGTGCCTCATCCATGGCCAGAGGGAGGATGGTACGCTCAACGGGATGGCAATCACACCTTCCACTTGTATTGTAATCATGTATTGTATTTAACAGTACTATATTGTACTTATGTCTTGTAGTGGTCCTGTGTGGTTCAGTTACACAGGACCACTACAATACATAAAGGCTCAGACACACCGGGCCCTCCTGTAGCTCAGTTGGTAGGGCATGGTGCTTGCAACGCCAGGGTTGTGGGTTCGATTCCAACGGGGGGCCAGTATGAAAAATGTATGCACTCACTAACTGTAAGCTGCTCTGGATAAGAGCGTCTGCTAAATGACTAAAAATGTAAATGTTAAAATGATTGTCAAACGTTTGCCTGCCGACAGTACTTAGCACCTCTGTACAGAATGTAGGCAGTCAATCTCTTTTGTGTTCACACAGCAAAGACCTTGAAGTCGGCCTTGATGTGTGTTGCTTTATGGTCTAAATAGCCAATGTTAGCTAGATAGCTAGCTGCGCTAATGTTGCTATTGTTGTAGAAAGCCCTTGATGACACTAGCCAGATGGCCGCAGCTACATTGCCTTCAGAAAGTATTCACACCACTTGACTTTTTCCACATTTTGTTGTGCTACAAAGTGGGATTAAAATGGATTTAACTGTCTTTTTTTGGTCAACAATCTACACAAAATACTCTGTAATGTCAAAGTGGAAGAAAAATTATATTTCTAACAAATAAAAAAAAATGCATGAAAAATGACCCGCTAATATATCTTTATTGGATAAGTATTCAACCCTGAGTCAATACATGTTAGAATCACCTTTGGCAACGATTGCAGATGTGAGTATTTCTGGGTATGTCTCTAAGAGCTTTCCACACCTGGATTGTGCAAAATTTGCCCATTTATTCTTTTTAAAAATGTTCAAGCGCTGTCAAATTGGTTGTTGATCATTGCTAGACAACCATTTTAAGGTCATGCTATAGATTTTCAAGTAGATTTAAGTCAGAACTGTAACTCGGACACTCAAAGTTAATTGCTTTGCCACATTTTTTGCAGTATTATTTTTGTTGCAAACAGGATGCATGTTTAGGAATAGTTTTATTCTGTACCGGCTTCCTTCTTTTGACTCTGTCAATTAGGTTAGCATTGTGGAGTGACTACAATGTTGTTGATCCATCCTCAGTTTTCTCCCATCATAGCCATTAAACTCTGTAATACTTTTAAAGTCACCATTGGCCTCATGGTGAAATCCTTGAGCGGTTTCCTTCCTCTCCGGCAACTGAGTTAGGAAGGATGCCTGTATCTTTGTAGTGACTGGGTGTATTGATACACCATCCAAAGTGAAATTAATAATTTCACCATGCTCAAAGGGATATTCAATGTCTGCTTTTTATTTTTACCCATCTACCAGTAGGTGCCCTTCTTTGCGAGGCATTGGAAAACCTCCCTGGTCTTTGTGGTTGAATCTGTGTTTGAAAATCATTGCTCGACTAAGGGACCTTACAGATAATTGTATGTGTGGGGTACAGAGATAAGGTAGTCATTCAAAAATCATGTTAAACACTTATTATGTGACTTATTATGTGACTTGTTAAGCAAATGTTTACTCCTGAACTTATTTAGGCTTTCCATAACAAAGGGGTTGAATACTTAATGACTCAAGACATTTCAGCTTTTCATTTGTAATTCATTTGTAAAAACAATGTAAAAACATAATTCCACTTTGACATTATGGGGTATTGTGTATAGGCCAGTGACACAAAATCTCAATTTAATCCATTTGATATTCCGTCTGTAACACAACACTGTAGACAACTAGGCACTGTAGACATCTAGCTAGCAAAATGACAAAGAAACTATTTAATTAACTTTCCATTATCTAATACATTTCTAGCTAGCTGGCTAACATTAGCTAAATGGTTAGCATGCTGTTGTGCTAGCTAGGTAAAGTAAAGACACTGAATTGACTCTCGGCAGCCAGCTGCAGGCAGCTGCTTCATGGAAACGAATCCATCGTGATTTAACTATAATGTTTATTATATCATAATTATTATTATTATATATATTTTATTTTTTTTTTGGGAGGGGGGGGTAGATCAGCTTTAATATTGCAGATAGATTGTGTCTTCCATCAATGTAATTGTCTGCATCATTTCCAATCCCCCATATATTTTTTGAAATAAATATATAAAATATTTATTTTTTACAATATATTTCCCTTTATTATTTTCTCCTAACCCTACCACCTCTCCCCTAATTGGAGTAAACTAACGGACAACAACACTTATGCTTCTACTTCCTGTGTCCGTAAATACTATACAGTATATTTAACAATAGTTATCTTTTGTCTTCAAGAGATCGAGAGTTGCACCCCTCCTCAAAAAACCTATACTCGATCCCTCCGATGTCAACAACTACAGACCAGTATCCCTTCTTTCTTTTCTCTCCAAAACTCTTGAGCGTGCCGTCTCTAGCCAACTCTCCTGCTATCTCTCTCAGAATTACCTTTTTGATCCAAACCAGTCAGGTTTCAAGACTGGTCATTCAACTGAGACTGCTCTTCTCTGTGTCACGGAGGCTCTCCGCACTGCTAAAGCTAACTCTCTCTCCTCTGCTCTTATCCTTCTAGACCTATTCGCTGTCTTTGATACTGTGAACCATCAGATCCTCCTCTCCACCCTCTCCGAGTTGGGCATCTCCGGCGCTGCTCACTCTTGGATTGCGTCCTACCTGACAGGTCGCTCCTACCAGGTGGCGTGGCGAGAATCTGTCTCCGCACCACGTGCTCTCACCACTGGTGTCCCCCAGGGCTCAGTTCTAGGCCCTCTCCTATTCTCTCTATACACCAAGTCACTTGGCTCTGTCATATCCTCACATGGTCTCTCCTATCATTGCTACGCAGACGACACACAATTAATTTTCTCCTTTCCCCCTTCTGATAACCAGGTGGCGAATCACATCTCTGCATGTCTGGTAGACATATCAGTGTGGATGTCGGATCACCACCTCAAGCTGAACCTCGGCAAGACGGAGCTGCTCTTCCTCCCGGGGAAGGACTGCCCGCTCCAAGATCTCGCCCTCACGGTTGACAACTCCATTGTGTCCTCCTCCCAGAGTGCAAAGAGCCTTGGCGTGACCCTGGACAACACCCTGTCATTCTCCGCTAACATCAAAGCGGTGACCCGATCCTGCAGGTTCATGCTGTACAACATTTGCAGAGTAGGACCCTACCTTACACAGAAAGCGGCACAGGTCCTAATCCAGGCACTTGTCATCTCCCGTCTGGATTACTGCAACTTGCTGTTTGCTGGGCTCCCTGCCTGTGCCATTAAACCCCTACAACTTATCCAGAACGTCGCAGCCCGTCTGGTGTTCGACGTTCCCAAGTTCTCTCATGTCACCCCACTCCTCCGCACACTCCCCTGGCTTCCAGTTGAGGCTCGCATCTACTACAAGACCATGGTGCTTGCCTACGGAGCTGTGAGGGGAACGGCACCTCCTTACCTTCAGGCTCTGATCAGACCCTACACCCAAACGAGGGCATTACATTCATCCACCTCTGGCTTGCTAGCTCCCCTACTTCTACAGAAGCACAGTTCCCACTCAGCCCAGTCAAAGCTATTTGCTGCTCTGGCACCCCAATGGTGGAACAAGCTCCCCCCCGACGCCAGGACAGTGGAGTCACTGACCACCTTCCGGAGACACTTGAAACCCTACCTCTTTAAAGAATACCTGGAATAGTATAAAGTAATCCTTCTACCCCCCCCCCCCCCCCCCCCCCCCCCACACACAAAAAAAAGTGGTTGTCCCACTTGCGATCATATGTTGAATGCACCAATTTGTAAGTCGCTCTGGATAAGAGTGTTTGCTAAATGATGTAAATGTTTGTTTTTAGTCCCATCCTTCAGTTGCACTCAACCCCTCCCATCTATCTCTAAACACCATCCAAATTTGATTTCTATTTGCCATATATTTTTCAACTGTGCTGTGATGTTTCACAAAAGTTCTGAACCTTTCTATTCTCATAGGTTTTACAAATTGTAAATTAAAGATAAACACTTTTGCTAAGAGTATTATTATATTATTGATTGATTGACTATGACTTTTTAAATCACCCAGCAGTGCTATTTGCAGAGTTTGCTCCAGGTAAATGTTGCAATTCTTCAGCCATTCCTGAACCTGCGACCAAAAACAAGCTACATATGGACAGTACCAAAACAAATTATCTAATAAATCTGTCTCTTCACAGCAAAATCTGCAGAGCTGGGATGGTTGTATCCCCCATATATATATCATTCTATTGGTTGCAAGAATAATAATTTAAACGTAAAAACTCTAAGTTTTGTTTTGTGTATCAGTTCATAGACCATGTGATATGGATTCGGTACATCGAAAATCTCTTCCCAACTATTTTGCAATCTATATGACACACCTGTCATTTTTTTGGTCCTCAAATGAAACTGGTATACTTTTTTATTGATCACAATCTTCTTTAACCAATTTTGTTCTTTAATGCAGGACCGACAGACAAGTTCCTTACTTTCTCCCCCTTCCACTTGCCTCTTCCATTTTTGTGGTAATGCTACAATTAGTTGGTTGTAATTTTGAGTAGAGCAGATGTTTCCATATATCTTTGATAGCTACATGTGTGACATAACTCCACCAGTCCTATTTATGATATCATTTACAAAGATTATACCTTTTTTTTTTTTTACTACACGCTATTGTATTTTTTAGTGATCCAATACGTAATATTTATCATAATTTGGTTGTAATCCAGAGAGGTTAGAACAATTATCTAGATCATCTATGAGGCTGAGGGATCAAAATTGTGGATTTAAAAGAAAACATGAATCATCAGCGTGCAATGACACCTTTGTTTTTAAGCACTGGATTTCTAGCCCCCCTGATATTATTGTTGATTTTAATAGCTAACATTTCAATGGCCATAATAAATAGATATGCCGATAGTGGACAACCTTGTTTTACTCCTCTTGACAGTTTAATACTTTCTGAGAAGTAGCCATTATTTACTATTTTACACCTAGGGTTACTATACATAACATTAACCCATTGTATAAGAGATTCTCAAAATTGAAATATACCAGCATTTATAAATAAATTCCAGTCGTACTTTATCAAAAGGTTTTTCAAAGTCGGCTATGAATACCAGGCCTGGTTTCCCAGATTTTTCATAGTGTTCTATTGTTTCCAGTACTTGTCCAATGTATTTACGTCCATGTAAAAAACCTGTCTGATTAGGATTAATAATATCCAACAATACCTTTTTAATTCTATGCGCTATGCATTTTGCTTGAATTTTTGCATCACAACAATGAAGTGTAAGGGGTTTCCAATTTATTTAATGGACTGGATTTTTATATTTACCACTTTGGTCCTGTTTCAGTAATAATTAAATCAGACCTTCTTGTTGAGTATCTGATAATCTACCATTTTTATAGGAGTGGTTAAAACATGCTAATAATGGACCTCTGAGTACATCAAAAAAGGTTTGGTTAACCTCAACTAGTATGCCTTCCAGCCCTAGAGTTTCCCCAGACTTAAAGGCTTTAATTGCATCAAGAAGTTCCTTCTCTGTAATTTGGCCTTCACATGAGTCTTTCTGTACAGCAATTCATTTTACATTATTAATAGGACAAAAATCCTTACAATTAACTTTGTTTAGTGGAGATGGAGACAGAAAAGAAAACATATGCTTAAAGTACTTTGTTTCCTCTTTCAAAATATAATTTGGTAAATTCTTTTTGGTAGCATTTCTATGTTAACGATACAAAAATAATTTGATGCATTTTTCCCCATATTCCATCCAGTTCGCTTAATTTTGTATAATATATTACATTTGATATTTCTTGAATAGGTTCCTCCATTCCTTTTAGTTTTTCCTCTAACGTAATCCCTGCCTCTATGGTACAGTTTTTACTGTGCTGTTAGTCCCTCTATTTCCTTTGTTAATATGAATTATTTTGACCAAAATTGCTTTTGTTTTAAAGATGAGTATTGAATTGCATGGTCTCTAAAGGCACATTTAAAAGTGTCCCATACAATAGGGGGATCTGCTGTACCTATATTTTGTTAAAGGTCAGTTATAAATTATTCTGTCCTAGTTAAAAAAAAGTTGTCATCCAATAGGCTTTGATTACATTTCTGTAATTCTGTAAGAGTAATGTATATGCCAATTATTTGATGGTCCGACCACATTCTATCCCCTATCAACACCTTAACTTTTGGTGCCAGTGAGAATGGCATAAGAAAGTAGTTAAGACGACTAGCTTGATTGAGCCTCCGCCATGTACAGTGCCTTCGGAAGGTATTCAGACCCCTTGACTTTTTCCACATTTTGTTAGGTTACAGCCTTATTCAAAAATTGATCCATTTTATTCCCCTCATCAATCTACACACAAAACCCCATAATGACAAAGTAAAAACAGTTTATTTGAAATGTACCCTTTACTCAGTACTTTGTTGAAGCACCTTTGGCAGCAATTACAGCCTTGAGTCTTCTTGGGTATGACGCTAAAAGCTTCACACAACTGTATTTGGGGAGCTTCTCCCATTCTTCTCTGCAGATCCTCTCAAGCTCTGTCAGGTTGGATGGGGAGCGTCGTTGCAAAGCTATTTTCAAGTCTCTCCAGAGATGTTAGGTCGGGTTCAAGTCCGGGCTCTGGCTGGGCCACTCAACAACATTCAGAGACTTGTCCCGAAGCCACTCCTGCATTGTCTTGGCTGTGTGCTTAGGGTTGTTGAACTGTTGGAAGGTGAACCGTCGCCCCAGTCTGAGGTCCTGAGAGCTCTGGTGCAGGTTTTCATCAAGGATCTCTCTGTACTTTGCTCCATTAATCTTTCCCTCGATCCTGTCATGTGCCTTTTACTGAGGAGTGGCTTCCGTCTGGCCATAAAGCCCTGATTGTTGGAGTGCTGCAGAGATGTTTGTCCTTCTGGAAGGTTCTCCCATCTCCACAGAGGAACTCTGGAGCTCTGTCAGAGAGACCATTGGGTTCTTGGTCACCTCCCTGACCAAGGCCCTTCTCCCCCGATTGCTCAATTTGGCAGGCCGGCCAGCTCTAGGAAGAGTCTTGGTGGTTCCAAACTTTTTCCATTTGAGAATGATGGAGGCCACTGTGTTCTTGGGAATCTTCAATGCTGCAGAAATGTTTTGGTACCCTTCCCCAGATCTGTGCCTTGACACAATCCTGTCTACGAGCTCTACGGACAATTCCTTTGACCTAATGGCTTGGTTTTTGCCTGTGGGACCATATGTAGACAGCTGTGTGCCTTTCCAAATCATGTCCAATCAATTGAATTTGCCACAGGTGGACTCCAATCAAGATGTAGAAACATCTCAAGGATATAATCAATGGAAACAGGATGCACCTGAGCTCAATTTCGAGTGTCATTGCAAAGGGTCTGAATACTTATGTAAATAAGGTCTTTAGTTTTTTATTTGTAATAAATTGGCAAAAAAATCTAAAAAACTTTTCGCTTTGTCATTATGGAGTATTGTGTGTAGACTGATGAGGACAATTGTTTATTTAATCAATTTTAGAATAAGGCTGTAACGTAACAAAATGTGGAAAAAGTCAAAGGGTCTGAATACTTTCCGAATGCATTAACCAATGTCAAGTCCTAGCTGATGGCGCTCAGATACACCCCCCTACCCTGAAACACATACACGCTGATCCCCCGTTGTGACCATTTTCCTAAGCATCTCTGTGCAGTCAGACCTTTTGATTATTTTGTGCTAGCTACAGTGACCAGGTAACTAGGCTTGGAGGAAGCATTTAGTGTAAGTCGCTCTGGATAAGAGCGTCTGCTAAATGACGTAAATGTAATGTAAATGTAGTGTTTTGTGCATTGTCTGTGCACTTAGCTAGCTAGCATGATCCTATACATTGCATATTCTTATTCTTCATTGGGGTTTAACGGCAGTTGGCATCCATTGTTTATGGTGCATTACCCCCACCAACTGGACAGGGTAAAAAAATATGTAAACTCCAAAAAAGGGGTGGAGGGGGACCTTAATTCACACAAACAGAAACCTAACAAAAACGAACTTTCACTTCTTACTTCATTCAAAATTCCATAACTCAATTTTCAGGCTCTGGGGCCTGAGAGGGTGGCATTGCTCGTGACAGCACTCCTCCGCCCAAAACATTTTTCAATCCCAGGAACCGTTCTGCCTGAGACCCAATGATAGCAATCTTACTGGACTTATTCTCCACTCCAGCAGTGCCATTAATCACCATCGCCATAAAAGCCACAAAGTCCACTTTCTTAACATGTACTGTAACATATCTGGATCCTGCTGATGAGAGGCCAACTCTGCAGCCTGCAGTGAAGGCCTATCCAACACGCTGGAGTCTTCAGAAGGACCATTTGTTCCCTCAACCGCCTCTCCATATGAAATGCTCTGGACAGCCCTGACTCTGGCAACCTCATCTTCTTTTGCCATCTTCGGGCATTTCAAAGATGTAGCTTCATGGTTCCCACCACAATTGCAACACTTGACATGTTCTTCATCCATATAACATTCAACATGATCTTCTTTTCCACAACTTCCACATCTCGGCTTCTCTCTTCTACAGACACTTGAGGCATGTCCAAAAGCACCTGATTACACATGATGATTCACAAAAATATTAAACTAGACTCTTGGAATTATCTTGTTTGAACGACATAGTAAAAAAAATGAATAATATATATATAATTTTTTACTAAGTTGTTCAAACAAGATACTAAGTAAATTAAATGAGATACTAAGTTGTTTGAACGACTTAATTGTTCTTTTGTCTAATTAGGCCTCTTTTGTTATGCAGCTTGTCAGACTGTGTAATGGTTGCTGCAGCCATTCATTCACTGATTCCATCCGTTGATATGATTATTTACTGACAGTTCATCTATAGCCTAAAGCAGGGCTGCTTTTGAATGCCATAGCATGCAAGTGGGCGAGTGTGGAGCAAGGAGCAGAGCGTAATTCGAGCGGATAAAATAACATTGTCGGCCTTCTCTCCCGCTCCAATTTCTGGGCATGCTCTGCCTAGCACTTTTAGTTTCCTTTATCACTATTCTTTTAATTAGGCCTGTTCGGTTGTAATTATTTAGCCTACTTCACTCACAGAAGCCTAAATCTAGTTTATATTCTACTTTTTCTTGGAATTGAAACACCATAATATGAATCAATTTAATTAAGCTAAAATATCAGAAATAAATTGTAAATAATAAAGGCCTGATCTTTTCATGAATAAAAGGGAATAAACAAAATAAATCTCAAACTGCAGCGGTCAAATTATTTGCGCACAGCAAGCACCAACAAGCTTCATGTGATATTCAAATGAAATATTATTATAATAAAAACAGAAAAATACACAAGCTTCATTACATAAAGGAATACTAGTGGGAATGTAGCCACAATATAAACAAGTATTCAGACCCCTTGACTTTTTCCACATTTTGTTACATTACAGCCTTATTCTAAAATGGATTAAATACATTTTTAAAATGTCATCAATCTACACACAATACCCCATAACGATAAAGGAAAAACAGGTTTTTAGAAATTTTTTGGAAGAAGTTTGGAACCACCAAAACTCTTCTTAGAGCTGGCCGCCTGGCCAAACTGAGTAAAATGCTGAAATGCCTTCACTCAATAAGTATTCAACTCCTTTGTTATGGCAAGCCTAAATAAGTTCAGCAGTAAACATTTGCTTAACAAGTCACACACTATATGTTGCATGGACTCACTCTGTATGCAATAATAGTGTTTAACATGATTTTAGAATGATTACCTCATCTCTGTACCCCACAAATACAATTATCTGTAAGGTCCCTCAGTCGAGCAGTGAATTTCAAACACAGATTCAATTACAAAGACCAGGGAGGTTTTCCAACGCCTTGCAAAGAAGAGCACCTATTGGTAGATGGGTAAAAATACAAAAAAGCAGACATTGAATATCCCTTTGAGCATGGTGGAGTTATTAATTACACTTTGGATGGTGTATCAATACACCTAGTCACTACAAAGATACAGAAGTCGTTCTTAACTCAGTTGGCAGAGAGGAAGGAAACCACTCAGGGATTTCACCATGCCAATGGTGACTTTAAAACAGTTACAGTTTAATGGCTGTGATAGGAAAAACACTGAGGATGGATCAACAACTCCACAACACTAACCTAATTGACAGAGTGAAAAGAAGGAAGCTTGTACAGAATAAAAATATTCAAAAACATGCAAACTGTGAAAAATGTAGCAAAGCAATTCACTTTTATACAAAGTGTTATGTTTTGGGCAAATCCAATCACACATTACATTACTGAGTACCACTCTCCATATTTTCAAGCATAGTTGTGGCTGCATCATGTTATGGGTATACTTGTAATAATTAAGGACTGAGGAGTTTTTCAGGATTAAAAAAAAAAACGGAATGGAGCTAAGCACAGGCAAAATCCTAGAGGAAAACATGGTTCAGTCTGCTTTCCACCGGACACTGGGAGATTAATTCAACTTTCAGCAGGACAATAACCTAAAACACAAGGCCTTAGAGAGTTACCCAGAAAGACTCACAGCTGAAATCACTGCCAAAGGTGCTTCTACAAAGTATTGACTCAGGGGTGTAAAAACATATGTAAATCAGATACTTCTGTATTTCATTTTCAATACATTTGCAAAAATGTCAAAAAACATGTTTTCATGTTGTCATTATGGGGTATTGTATATAGATGGGTGAGAAAAATATATATTTAATCCATTTTGAATTCAGGCTGAAACTGAAAATGTGGAATAAATCAAGGGGTATGAATCATTTCTGAAGGCACTGTAAGTCTCTGACTTTTTTGTGATATCCCTGTCATATTTTTTATATGTATGTAGCTACTGTATGTATATGTGTCTTATTAACTGTGAAATAAAATCTATCTATCCTCTCTTTCTTGAAGTAATCACAGATCAAACAGCCCTGTGGCACATGCAGATGAGTGAGACAGGTGTACAGGTAGGTAAAAAGCAGTCAGACAGATAAAAGGCAGTCTCAGGTACGCTACCTTGCTCCAGTCTGTGGCACAGAGACCTCTTGGCCACCTCCACCTCAGGGCCTGGGTGGTCCAGCACCAGCCTGCTCCACTGTAGTGGACTGAGGACACACTCACCCCGTAGCCTGGCCTTAGGACACACATACAGCCTGGAACAGAAGACGATCAATTAATCATGTGTGTTGTCGTAATGAACAAAGTAGAGAAGACAGCCCAGGACATAGTGTGAGAGGAGATGTCGATGGCCTATTCTCCATGAGGAGCGATGGGCCGAAGTAAGTAAGTGTTGTCCTAATTCTCTCCAAGGCTGAGCCATAGGCCTACATCACAGTAAACATTGCTGACAGGGAAATTGAGAAAAGCATGACGTGTTGTTCATGAGAACTCAACTCAAATGCCCGATGCAATTATTACAACAACCACAACACTGTTCTGTAACTGTGTATGCGTTCAACGCAGGAAGTGTTTGTGTGTTCATATCCACTTCGACTTGGTAAGAGATTTTTTCTGATGTCTTTTCTGCATACAGTGAGGGAAAAAAGTATTTGATCCCCTGCTGATTTTGTACGTTTGCCCACTGACAAAGAAATTATCAATCTATAATTTTAATGGTAGGTTTATTTGAACAGTGAGAGACAGAATAACAACAGAAAAATCCAGAAAAACGCATGTCAAAAATGTTATAAATTGATTAGCATTTTAATGAGGGAAATAAGTATTTGACACCTCTGCAAAACATGACTTAGTACTTGGTGGCAAAACCCTTATAATAATAATAACAATAATAATAATAATAATAATAATAATAATATGCCATTTAGCAGACCCTTTTATCCAAAGCGACTTACTGTCATGTGTGCATTCATTTTCACGTATGGGTGGTCCCGGGGATCGAACCCACTACCCTGGCGTTACAAGCGCCATGCTCTACCAATTGAGCTACAGAGGACCACCATTGTTGGCAATCACAGAGGTCAGACGTTTCTTGTAGTTGGCCACCAGGTTTGCACACATCTCAGGAGGGATTTTGTCCCACTCCTCTTTGCAGATCTTCTTCAAGTCATTAAGGTTTCGAGGCTGACGTTTGGCAACTCCAACCTTCAGCTCCCTCCACAGAATTTCTATGGGATTTAGGTCTGGAGACTGGCTAGGCCACTCCAGGACCTTAATGTGCTTCTTCTTGAGCCACTCCTTTGTTGCCTTGGCCGTGTGTTTTGGGTCATTGTCATGCTGGAATACCCATCCACGACCCATTTTCAATGTCCTGGCTGAGGGAAGGAGGTTCTCACCCAAGATTTGACGGTACATGGCCCCGTCCATCGTCCCTTTGATGTGGTGAAGTTGTCCTGTCCCCTTAGCAGAAAAAGACCCCCAAAGCATAATGTTTCCACCTCCATGTTTGACGGTGGGGATGGTGTTCTTGGAGTCATAGGCAGCATTCCTCCTCCTCCAAACATGGCGAGTTGAGTTGATGCCAAAGAGCTCGATTTTGGGCTCATCTGACCACAACACTTTCACCCAGTTCTCCTCTGAATCATTCAGATGTTCATTGGCAAACTTCAGACGGCCCTGTATATGTGCTTTCTTGAGCAGGGGGACCTTGCGGGCGCTGCAGGATTTCAGTCCTTCACGCCGTAGTGTGTTACCAATTGTTTTCTTGGTGACTATGGTCCCAGCTGCCTTGAGATCATTGACAAGATCCTCCCGTGTAGTTCTGGGCTGATTCCTCACCATTCACATGATCATTGCAACTCCACGAGGTGAGATCTTGCCTGGAGCCCCATGCCGAGGGAGATTGACAGTTTTGTGTTTCTTCCATTTGCGAATAATCGTACCAACTGTTGTCACCTTCTCACCAAGCTGCTTGGCGATGGTCTTGTAGCCCATTCCAGCCTTGTGTAGATCTACAATCTTGTCCCTGACATCCTTGGAGAGCTCTTTGGTCTTGGCCATGGTGGAGAGTTTGGAATCTGATTGATTGATTGCTTCTGTGGACAGGTGTCTTTGATACAGGTAACAAGCTGAGATTACGAGCACTCCCTTTAAGAGTGTGCTCCTAATCTCAGCTCGTTACCTGTATAAAAGACACCTGGGAGCCAGAAATCTTTCTGATTGAGAGGGGGTCAAATACTTATTTCCCTCATTAAAATGCAAATCAATTTATACATTTTTGACATGCGTTTTTCTGGATTTTGTTGTTGTTATTCTGTCTCTCACTGTTCAAATAAACCTACCATTAAAATTATAGAATGATAATTTCTTTGTCAGTTGGCAAATGTACAAAATCAGCAGGGGATCAAATACTTTTTCCCTCACTGTAGATACATACAGTGAGGGAAAAAAGTATTTGATCCCCTGCTGATTTTGTACGTTTGCCCACTCTCATGAGGACTGCCACAGGAAAGGAAGACCCAGAGTTACCTCTGCTGCAGAGGATAAATTCATTAGAGTTAACTGCACCTCAGATTACAGCCCAAATATTTGCTTCACAAAGTTCAAGTAACAGACACATCTCAACATCAACTGTTCAGAGGAGACTGCGTGAATCAGACCTTCATGGCCTAATTGCTGCAAGCAAAGAAACCACTACTAAAGGACACCAATAAGAAGAAGAGACTTGCTTGGGCCAAGAAACACAAGCAATGGACATTAGACCGGTGGAAATCTGTCCTTTGGTCTGATGAGTCCAAATTTGAGATTTTTGGTTCCAATCGCTGTGTCTTTGTGAGACGCGTGTGGGTGAATGGATGACCTCCACATGTGTGGTTGCCACCATGAAGCATGGAGGAGGAGGTGCGATTGTGTGGGGGTGCTTTGTTCGTGACACTGTCTGTGATTTATTTAGAATTCAAGGCACACTTAACCAGCATGGCTACCACAGCATTCTGCAGCGATATACCATCCCATCTGGTTTGCGCTTGACTATTATTTGTTTTTCAAAAGGACAATGACCCAAAACACACCTCCAGGCTGTGTAAGGGCTATTTGATTAAGAAGGAGAGTGATGGAGTGCTGCATCAGATGACCTGGCCTCCACAATCACCCGACCTTAACCAAATTAAAATGGTTTGGGATGAGTTGGACCGCAGACTGAAGGAAAAGCAGCCAACAAGTGCTCAGCATACAGTGGGGAAAAAAAGTATTTAGTCAGCCACCAATTGTGCAAGATCTCCCACTTAAAAAGATGAGAGAGGCCTGTAATTTTCATCATAGGTACACGTCAACTATGACAGACAAATTGAGAAAAGAAAATCCAGAAAATCACATTGTAGGATTTTTAATGAATTTATTTGCAAATTATGGTGGAAAATAAGTATTTGGTCACCTACAAACAAGCAAGATTTCTGGCTCTCACAGACCTGTAACTTCTTCTTTAAGAGGCTCCTCTGTCCTCCACTCGTTACCTGTATTAATGGCACCTATTTGAACTTGTTATCAGTATAAAAGACACCTGTCCACAACCTCAAACAGTCACACTCCAAACTCCACTATGGCCAAGACCAAAGAGCTGTCAAAGGACACCAGAAACAAAATTGTAGACCTGCACCATGCTGGGAAGACTGAATCTGCAATAGGTAAGCAGCTTGGTTTGAAGAAATCAACTGTGGGAGCAATTATTAGGAAATGGAAGACATACAAGACCACTGATAATCTCCCTCGATCTGGGGCTCCACGCAAGATCTCACCCCGTGGGGTCAAAATGATCACAAGAACGGTGAGCAAAAATCCCAGAACCACACGGGGGGACCTAGTGAATGACCTGCAGAGAGCTGGGACCAAAGTAACAAAGCCTACCATCAGTAACACACTACGCCGCCAGGGACTCAAATCCTGCAGTGCTAGACGTGTCCCCCTGCTTAAGCCAGTACATGTCCAGGCCCGTCTGAAGTTTGCTAGAGTGCATCCAGAAGAGGATTGGGAGAATGTCATATGGTCAGATGAAACCAAAATATAACTTTTTGGTAAAAACTCAACTCGTCGTGTTTGGAGGACAAAGAATGCTGAGTTGCATCCAAAGAACACCATACCTACTGTGAAGCATGGGAATGAAAACATCATACTTTGGGGCTGTTTTTCTGCAAAGGGACCAGGACGACTGATCCGTGTAAAGGAAAGAATGAATGGGGCCATGTATCGTGAGATTTTGAGTGAAAACCTCCTTCCATCAGCAAGGGCATTGAAGATGAAACGTGGCTGGGTCTTTCAGCATGACAATGATCCCAAACACACCGCCCGGGCAACGAAGGAGTGGCTTCGTAAGAAGCATTTCAAGGTCCTGGAGTCTCCAGATCTCAACCCCATAGAAAATCTTTGGAGGGAGTTGAAAGTCCGTGTTGCCCAGCGATAGCCCCAAAACATCACTGCTCTAGAGGAGATCTGCATGGAGGAATGGGCCAAAATACCAGCAACAGTGTGTGAAAACCTTGTGAAGACTTACAGAAAACGTTTGACCTGTGTCATTGCCAACAAAGGGTATATAACAAAGTATTGAGAAACTTTTGTTATTGACCAAATACTTATTTTCCACCATAATTTGCTAATAAATTCATTAAAAATCCTGCAATGTGATTTTCTGGATTTTTTTTCCTCATTTTGTCTGTCATTGTTGACGTGTACCTATGATGAAAATTACAGGCCTCTCTCATCTTTTTAAGTGGGAGAACTTGCACAATTGGTGGCTGACTAAATACTTTTTTTCCCCACTGTATGTGGGAACTCCTTCAAGACTGTTGGAAAAGCATTCCAGGTGACTACCTCATGAAGCTGGTTGAGAGAATGCCAAGAGCGTGCAAAGCTGTCATCAAGGCAAAGGGTGGCTATTTGAAGAATCTCAAATATAAAATATATTTTGATTTCTTTAACACTTTTTTGGTTTCTACATGATTCCATATGTGTTATTTCATAGTTTTGATGTCTTCACTATTATTCTACAATGTAGAAAATAGTAAAAATAAAGAAAAACCCTTGAATGAGTAGGTGTTCTAAAACCTTTGACCGGTAGTGTACATCCATACACATATACATTCATACATATACATATACATATACACTACCGGTCCCCTAACCCTACCACCTCTCCCCTAATTGGAGTAAACTAATGGACACTTAGGCTTCCACTTCCAGCTTCTACATAATGTACTATATACATTTTACAGACACAATGTATTTTACAATAGTTATCTTTTGTTTGTTTTTAATCACATTCTTCAGCTATCCTCAACCTCCCATCTATCTCTGAAGAACATCCATTTTGATTTCTGTTTGCCATATATTTTTTACTGTGCTGTTTAACAAAAGTTCTGAACCTTTATACATTTTACGGAGACAGTATATTTTACATTAGTTATCTTGTTGTTTTTAGTCCCATCCTTCAGCTTCACTCAACCCTTCCCATCTATCTCTTAACACCATCTAGTTTTGATTTCTATTTGCTATATATTTTTCAACTGTGCTGTGATGTTTCACAAAAGTTCTAAACCTTTCTATTCTCATAGTTTCAGATTGTAAATTAAAGATACACATTTTTCCTTAAAGTATTATTATATTATTGATCGTTTGACTATGATGTTTCAAATCACCCAGCAGTGCTATTTACAGAGTTTGCTCCAGGTACAGTGAGGGGAAAAAAGTATTTGATCCCCTGCTGATTTTGTACGTTTGCCCACTGACAAAGAAATTATCAGTCTATAATTTTAATGGTAAATTTATCTGAACAGTGAGAGAGAGAACAACAACAAAAAAATCCAGAAAGACGCATGTCAAAAATGTTAGAAATTGATTTGCATTTTAATGAGGGAAATAAGAATTTGACCCCCTCTCAATCAGAAAGATTTCTGGCTCCCAGGTGTCTTTTATACAGGTAATGAGCTGAGATTAGGAGCACACTCTTAAAGGGAGTGCTCCTAATCTCAGTTTGTTACCTGTATAAAAGACACCTGTCCACAGAAGCAATCAATCAATCAGATTCCAAACTCTCCACCATGGCCAAGACCAAAGAGCTCTCCAAGGATGTCAAGGACAAGATTGTAGACCTACACAAGGCTGGAATGGGCTACAAAACCATCGCCAAGAAGCTTGGTGAGAAGGTGACAACAGTTGGTGCGATTATTCGCAAATGGAAGAAACACAAAATAACTGTCAATCTCCCTCGGCCTGGGGCTCCATGCAAGATCTCACCTCGTGGAGGTGCAATGATCATGAAAATGGTGAGGAATCAGCCCAGAACTACACGGGAGGATCTTGTCAATGATCTCAAGGCAGCTGGGACCATAGTCACCAAGAAAACAATTGATAATACACTACGCCGTGAAGAACTAAAATCCTGCAGTGCCCGCAAGGTCCCCCTGCTCAAGAAAGCACATATACAGGCCCGTCTGAAGTTTGCAAATGAACATCTGAATGATTCAGAGGAGAACTGGGTGAAAGTGTTGTGGTCAGATGAGACCAAAATCAAGCTCTTTGGCATCAACTCAACTCTCAGTCTTTGGAGGAGGAATGCTGCCTATAACCCCAAGAACACCATCCCCACCATCAAACATGGAGGTGGAAACATTATGCTTTGGGGGTGTTTTTCTGCTAAAGGGACAGGACAACTTCACCGCATCAAAGGGACGATGGACGGCGCCATGTACCGTCAAATCTTGGGTGAGGACCTCCTTCCCTCAGCCAGGACATTGAAAATGGGTCGTGGATGGGTATTCCAGCATGACAATGACCCAAAACACATGGCCAAGGCAACAAAGGAGTGGCTCAAGAAGAAGCACATTAAGGTCCTGGAGTGGGCTAGCCAGTCTCCAGACCTTAATCCCATAGAAAATCTGTGGAGGGAGCTGAAGGTTCGAGTTGCCAAACGTCAGCCTCGAAACCTTAATGACTTGGAGAAGATCTGCAAAGAGGAGTGGGACAAAATCCCTCCTGAGATGGGTGCAAACCTGGTGGCCAACTACAAGAAACGTCTGACCTCTGTGATTGCCAACAAGGGTTTTGCCACCAAGTACTAAGTGATGTTTTGCAGAGGGGTCAAATACGTATTTCCCTCATTAAAATGCAAATCAATTTATAACATTTTTGACATGCGTTTTTCTGTATTTTTCTGTTGATATTCTGTCTCTCACTGTTCAAATAAACCTACCATTAAATGAATAGACTGATCATGTCTTTGTCAGTGGGCAAACGTACAAAATCAGCAGGGGATCAAATACTTTTTTCCCTCACTGTAAATGTTTAAACTCTTCAGCCATTCATGGACCTGCGACCAAAAATAATCTACATATGGACAGTACCAAAACAAATTATCTAATGATTCTGTCTCTTCGCAGCAAAATCTGCAGAGCTGGGATGGTTGTATCTCCCATTTTTGCGGTAATGCTGCAAAAAAAGTAGTTGGTTGTATTTTTGGGTAGAGCAGACATTTCTATATATTTTTGTTAGTTACATGTGTGACATAACTCCACCAGTCCTATTTATGATAAAATTTACAAAAATTATACTTTTATTTTTTTATCCAAAAATAATGTTTTTTTTATTATCAATTATTATATTTGAGTTTAACCTTAATTTGTGGTATTATTTGTTCTGTCTTTTCTGGTGGATTAAACAGAAATTGCAACCAACTTTCTATGGCTTGTTTAAAAAATAGCTATATTTTGGAGATTCTTTCATTTTCAAATAACCGAAAGTGAGAGGTTGTAATCTGAATAAAGGGGAAAAGGTCATTCTTGAACATGCGGTGAGACATTCTTACTAATCTGCTAGAGAACCAGTTTGGATTTAAGTATAACTGTTGTATGACTGAAGTCTTTAGTGAGAGGTCTAATGCTTTAATATTTAATCATTTCTGCCCTCCAAATTCATATTCATTATATAAATAGGCCAGTTTAATTTTGTCTGGCTTGCCATTCCAAATAAAATAGAATATGTTTTGCTCATATAATAAAAATAAAAACTGGTCGCTAGGTGTAGGCAAGGCCATAAGCAAATAGGTCAAATGGGTTTTTCCTTATTTAACTTATTCTGTACCTCTATGGTAGAGTTTTTATTGCTATCTATCTGTACTGGTAGTCCTTCCAATTCCTTTGTTAATATGGACTCTTTGACCTAAATTGCTTTTGTTTTAGAGATAAGTATTGAATTGCATGGCCTCTAAAGGCACATTTAAGTGTCCCATACAATAACATAGGTACAGCAGATCCCCTTATGTCGGGAAAAGTCTGTTCTAAATTATTCTGTCCTAGTTAAAAACAAATTATCATCCAATAAGCTTTGATTACATTTCCAATATCCTCGCCCATGTGGAAATTCTGTAAGAGTAATGTATATGCAAATTATTTGATGGTTTCGACTGCATTCTGTCCCCTATCAACACTTTTTAAACTTTTGGTGCCAGCAAGAATGACATAAGAAAGTAGTCAAGACGACTAGCTTGATTGAGTATTTCTCACTAGGTCAGGATATTTAAGCCTCCATTTATCCACTAGTTCCAATATATCCATGATATTCGTGATAGTTCGTAGTGTGATTTCCTTTACGGTCCATTGAGGTATTATAATCTCCCGTCATAACAATAGAGTCTTGTATTGCTTGTAGGTTTGATAAATGATTATATATATTTTGAAAGAAGTGTGGATCATTATTTGGACTGTATAGATTAATGAGCCAAATCTGTTTATGGTCCAATAACATATTTAAAATAATCCATCTACCTTGCGGATCTGTTTGGAATATTTGCACATTCGGATCAAAATGATTGTTAATTAATATCATCACTCCTTTTGTGTTTCTTTGATATAGGCTATTGAATATAAAATGCCTCATGACCTTAGTTAAATGAGACAGGACATTTTCCAATTTAATGCAGTTATATATTTGTCCTGGCTTTTGTGTGATACAAATGCGCTTAATAGCTCCTCAATACTAAAACCTACACTTTGAGCTGTGAATCATATATATATATATTCTAATATTTTATTGACGTTTAGGCAGCCAGACACAGATTACTCAAATGAGGCAAGATGAACGAGCATGTTACTGTAACAGTCGGTCAGCTCCACTGAGTGGCCATTGAGTGAAACGTATAGGCTAATCATTGGATTGCTGAAAAGCTCTGGTGATGACACATACTTTACTATAGGATGCTACGAAATTAGTACTGGGATGGTAAGTCATTGTAGTAGTCAGTTAGTAGAGGGTGGCAGGTAGCCTAGCTGTTAGAGAGGCGGACCAGCAACTGGAGGGTTGTCAGGTTGAATCCCAGTTTGGATGGGAAAATCTGGTGTAGAGTGAGCTGGCTACAGAGGGTTGATGGCATCATACTAGATACCTTTAAGCAATGCACTTAATCCTCTACAATTGCTCCAGGGGTACTGTGCCTGACCCATTGCTTCCAGCCCCTCGGCAGGGCTGTTTCTAGCATTTTGGGTGCCCTAAGCCAGATTTTGTTGCAAGCAAGCAAAACATTTTAGTGGCACCCTTCTTGACTGCGGAGAGAAACATTTGCAGCTTTAAAGCTCATTTCCTGCAGTTCTACACATTTTGCCATGGGACGGAGAGAAAATGTTTCCATTTTAAAGCTCATTTCCTGCAATTCTTCCCTAGTGGCCCCATATGTCGCTTTTGCCAAGAAACGGCACTGCCCCTGGTGTGTGTGTGTGTGCGTGCTTATTTGTCTTTTTAGTATTTCAATCTAACCTCCCCTTCCTCATGCTCTTCTCCCCAGCCAAGTGGAGGAGAAGCATCAGCAGCTCTTTCATTCTCTGTAAATTAATGGACAATAAAGTCTTAACTTTAGTAAGCTAACCTAACGTAGGCAGAGTCTACGTTTCTGGAAGGACAGATGTAGAATACAATATGCAAGGGTTTTAAAGTTTGAAATAACTTTTTAAGCTGTTTTCCATTAACATTGTCTAAAATCATGTTTTGGGCAAAATCCACAATGCAACTAGTTCGGCATATGAAGGGAGACAGTTTGTCTAACACAAATCTGAAACACATTTTTAAACAGTTTTCCCTGAACAGTGCAAAAAAATCATGTTTTAGGTTCAGCACTGGAATGACTTGATATTTAATACATTATGTAATATTTTTCAAGCTTGAAATAACGTTAAGCTTTTTTACATGAACATGGTCTAAAATCATGTTTTAGGCTAAATCCACCATGCAACTAGTTTAGCATATTATTATATGAAAGGAGACACCGTTTCTGAATAACAAACGTGAAACATATTTTTTATCCATTTTGCATGAACAGGGTCTAAAATATTTTTTTTGTATTCAGCACTGGAAGGACAGATGTTGAATACAATATGCAAGGGTTTTAAAGTTTGAAATAACTTTTTTCAGGGGAATACTGTATCCCAGAAAACCAGAAACATCCGCTTTCTACCAACTCTGCCAAGAGTGTAATAAGCTACTGTAGCACACTCATACCCATTTCACACTGCCGAGCCAAGTTGTACTGTGCTGGCCTGGTTACAAACCATAGTTGCTGGAACCATAGGACAATGTGGAATCAAAATATCCAAGACACACAGTATGGTTCAGGTTGGCCCTACAGCATGAATCTGGCACTAGAAGGAAACTGAATGGTACACTTTCCGTAAAAGACCATACATCTTGGTCAAAGGCTTCCGGTTTAGCATGTGAATGGAGACGAAGCTCGTGGATCAGGCTCTTACGCATTAGTTAATTTTGTGAAATTTGTACTTTGCATTCCACCCACTAACATATCAGATTTGATTGATGAGTTTGTAAGTTACCTTTTTGATTCAAATGTCGCACGACCTGAGGAGCACAAGAACTGTAACTAACGTTTCAACCGCGATGGCAAACGTGAATGGTAATGGCGCCGACTCCAGTCCAACCATTACAGAGTCTCATGCGGTCACACTCCCCACAGATCTTCAGAACCACCGTACGGTTCTGGTCTTGGAAATTACAGCTACCATTGCCACTCAGCTCAAAACTGCCATCGATGCTGCTCTGGCCCCCTTCTCCGCCATCCTGGATGGTGTCCGAGCCACTGCGGATTAACAAGGCCGCCGACTTAATGGCTTTGAACATGACCTGTGTGAACACAGTGACCGCATAGTAGCCCTTGAGAAAACGGTCGCCCATCTGAGCTCCAAAAACCAAAGGCTGATTGACAAGACCAATGACCTGGAATCCCGTTCTCGCTGTTGCAATCTTCAGGTTGCTGGTATACCAGAGAAATTGGAAGGAGGGGACTCAGTTAAGTTCATGTCAGACTTCTTTGCGGAGGAGCTGGGTCCGGCCATCGTTCTATCACACCCGAAGCTGGATAGAGCCCACCGCATTGGCCCCTCCGCAGCGGGCAGAGATGACAACTCCGAGCCAAGAGTGTTTATCGTCCGTTTTCACTACTACCATGACAAGGAGCGCATCCTCCAGAGGCAGGGCAGAGACCAGCTACACTTCAGCGGACACAAGGTGTTCATCTTTCCTGACCTCAGCTTGAGTGGAGGGGAGGGGAGGGGAATGACCTTTTTTGGTCCTTTTTTAATTATTTAATTTATTTTAATTTGCTTTTTTCATCCATTTTCTCTGTTATCTTTGCAAATGCTTTTTTCACACCTTTTTCCTTTCAATATTTTAGATGGCTAACAACGCTAATAATAGTAATATTGGAATACGTAGGCCTAATCCTATAAAGTTTTTGTCTTGGAATACTAAAACAATTAATAATGCTGTCAAGAGGTCTAGGGTCTTCTCCCATTTGAAAAAGCTAAAAGCAGATGTGGTATTTTTACAAGAGACCCATTTACGCATTAAAGATCACTCAACGCTCCAAAACTCCAGGTTCAGTCAGGTCTTCCATTCAGACTTTAACTCCAAAGCCAGAGGGGTTGCAATTTTGGTTAGTAAAATAATACATTTCTCTACTACTACTGTTATTTCAGACAGTAATGGGAGATATTTAATCATCACTGGCACCATTTGGCACACACCTGTAGTATTGGTCAATGTATATGCTCCCAATTTTGATGATGTTGAATTTGCCAATGGGCTGCTGGGGAAAATCCCTTCTCTGAACACCCATCTTTTGATATTTGGCGGGATATTTGGATCTGAATTGTGTTATTAGCCTGGCTTTAGACTGCTCCAACCCCAGAACTATGCCTCCTTCTGCTACAGTGGGGAAAAAAAGTATTTAGTCAGCCACCAATTGTGCAAGTTCTCCCACTTAAAAAGATGAGAGAGGCCTGTAATTTTCATCATAGGTACACGTCAACAATGACAGACAAATTTAGGAAAAAAATTCCAGAAAATCACATTGTAGGATTTTTAATTAATTTATTTGCAAATTATGGTGGAAAATAAGTATTTGGTCACCTACAAACAAGCAAGATTTCTGGCTCTCACAGACCTGTAACTTCTTCTTTAAGAGGCTCCTCTGTCCTCCACTCGTTACCTGTATTAATGGCACCTGTTTGAACTTGTTATCAGTATAAAAGACACCTGTCCACAACCTCAAACAGTCACACTCCAAACTCCACTATGGCCATGACCAAAGAGCTGTCAAAGGACACCAGAAACAAAATTGTAGACCTGCACCAGGCTGGGAAGACTGAATCTGCAATAGGTAAGCAGCTTGGTTTGAAGAAATCAACTGTGGGAGCAATTATTAGGAAATGGAAGACATACAAGACCACTGATAATCTCCCTCGATCTGGGGCTCCATACAAGATCTCACCCCGTGGGGTCAAAATGATCACAAGAACGGTGAGCAAAAATCCCAGAAACACACGGGGGGACCTAGTGAATGACCTGCAGAGAGCTGGGACCAAAGTAACAAAGCCTACCATCAGTAACACACTACGCCGCCAGGGACTCAAATCATGCAGTGCCAGACGTGTCCCCCTGCTTAAGCCAGTACATGTCCAGGCCCGTCTGAAGTTTGCTAGAGTGAATTTGGATGATCCAGAAGAGGATTGGGAGAATGTGATATGGTCAGATGACTTTTTGGTAAAAACTCAACTCGTCGTGTTTGGAGGACAAAGAATGCTGAGTTGCATCCAAAGAACACCATACCTACTGTGAAGCATGGGGGTGGAAACATCATGCTTTGGGGCTGTTTTTCTGCAAAGGGACCAGGACGACTGATCCGTGTAAAGGAAAGAATGAATGGGGCCATGTATCGTGAGATTTTGAGTGAAAACCTCCTTCCATCAGCAAGGGCATTGAAGATGAAACGTGGCTGGGTCTTTCAGCATGACAATGATCCCAAACACACCGCCCGGGCAACGAAGGAGTGGCTTCGTAAGAAGCATTTCAAGGTCCTGGAGTGGCCTAGCCAGTCTCCAGATCTCAACCCCATAGAAAATCTTTGGAGGGAGTTGAAAGTCTGTGTTGCCCAGCGACAGCCCCAAAACATCACTGCTCTAGAGGAGATCTGCATGGAGGAATGGGCCAAAATACCAGCAACAGTGTGTGAAAACCTTGTGAAGACTTACAGAAAACGTTTGACCTGTGTCATTGCCAACAAAGGGTATATAACAAAGTATTGAGAAACTTTTGTTATTGACCAAATACTTATTTTCCACCATAATTTGCTAATAAATTCATTAAAAATCCTACAATGTGATTATCTGGATTTTTTTTCCTCATTTTGTCTGTCATAGTTGACGTGTACCTATGATGAAAATTACAGGCCTCTCTCATCTTTTTAAGTGGGAGAACTTGCACAATTGGTGGCTGACTAAATACTTTTTTTCCCCACTGTATGTCAAATCCTTCTCAGGTTTTATGGTTCAGAATGGGTGTACAGATCCCTGGAGATTTCAGAATTCCCAGGCAAGAGAGTTTTCTTTCTTTTCACATGTACACCATTATTTTTCTCGTATTGACTATTTCTTTATTGATCATAAGTTACTTCTAAATGTCACCTCTTCTGAATATTTACGCATTGTAATTTCTGACCATGAACTTCTAGCCCTCGACATAGTCCTATCAGGACAAATTGGTACTCCTCTCTGGAGATTCAATTCTCTTCTCCTGTCTGATGCAGACTTCTGTAACGTTATTTCCACTTCTATTGATAATTTTCTTTTTTCTAATCAGACAAGCTCAACCTCTCATTCTCTCGTATAGGAATCACTTAAGGCCTATCTTAGAGGATAAATTATTTATTATTCTTCTCATTTAAACAAAACTCAGAAGGGTAAACTAGAAGAACTCTCTAAAGCCATCCTTGACTTAGACCATCAATATGCCTTGACGCCATCTCCAGAGCTATATGAGCAACGCTTGAACTTACAATCTGAATTCAATCTCATGTCCACTACAGATGCAGAACGGTTACTATTGCATTCACATGGTACCCTACTATGAACATGGCGACAGGGCAAGTCATCTGCTCGCACACCAATTAAAACGCAGCACTGCTACCCATCTGATTCCCCAAATTAAAGATTCCTCTCATAGCTTGATTTCTGACCCTACGGCGATCAATGACACCTTCAAATCTTTCTATTCCTCCCTGTATACATCTGAATTTCCATCAGATACTGCCAATATGACTTTATTTTTGGGTGAACTGGAGACTCCCACAGTTGAGGCTGAAACTGCAGATGACCTTGATTCTCCTCTCAGCCTTGAAGAAGTTATTCAGTCTATCAAGTCAATGCAGAGCAGCAAAGCTCCAGGGCCTGATGGGTTTCCAACTGAGTTCTTTAAGAAATTCCATACCAAGTTAGCCCCTTTACTTTTATCTATGTATAATGAGTTACTTTAA